ACAATAGCAATGCTGGGAAGAACTAAAACAAAAAAATATTAAATATTTAACAAACATGTAAATGTACGTAAAAGAATTGTATAGAATTGTGTCTCTAAGTTGGGGCAGGCGTCAGCGAGAAACCTTAAATGTTTATATGAATCATGGGCGTCGTAAAGCTGCGCTTAAAAACACCCGAAGATATACCAAGTGACGTAGATATGTATGTAATCTTTAAAAAAATAAAAAATAAAAGTATAAACAATACAAAAAAGCATATTTATCTTCAAACCTACACCGGTCCACCCGGGCAACATTGAAGGCCACTATTTTTGTGTGTGTGTTTCCAGCCTTAATACACACATCAGCAAGCTTAACTAGTTTAGCCGGTTACAATAGCATGAAGATGACTCAAAATCGTACAAAAAATATATGCACACACATTTTTACATATATATGTAATATGCATAAAGCTAAACAAACGAATAAATATTGCTTAACTGGTAAATGGTGAAAAAAAAGATGTGTCAAAAGTTTTGCGCACGTTGTTTTTGTTGAAAGCGTCGCTATCGCTGACAGCAAACATTGAACTTGAATTATTGCTTGGCATACTGTAAGTGGATCTTAAGTGTATTTTTTGTTTTTATTTTTCTTTTCTTTCTTTTTTTTTGCCAAAAAAATAAAAAATTTCAAATGCCGGAAAATGCAAGAAGACGTAAAAAATAATGCATGTGCTTACAACCACCCACCACTAAGTCACCTCGCTCAGCCACTCGGCTGTTGTTGACATGTTTGCATCAATGCATTTAACCACAGTTCATTACACTATCGAGTGCTTCTGCTTGCTTGACACGTGATAAAATGCGAATGCTACATGCAAAATTACTACATACGAGTATGTATGTTTGTATTTAAGTGTGTTTGATATTTAAGTGTAGGTGCCTGCTTATCTATGTATGTATATGTAAATGAATTGTATTGTCAATCGCCGCTTGTAATGCTTTTGTGTTTACCGGAATTTATTTCTTGTATTGTTTTTGTTTTTCTCACATTCAAGCATGTTCTATCAATCAAGTAGTGATTTTTTTTTGTCTTTGTGACAACTTTCCGGTAACTCGTTACATACACGGCGGTAGCAATTTAATGTTGTTATTGAGTGCAGATAGCGAAGAGCAGGCAAACAACGAGCGGTATACTGTATATATCGTTGTGTGTATATGAGAAGTCATATGTGAATATTTATTCGCAAAATAATTAAGAGATAAGGTAATGAATATACGTATACATTTATTGTAAGCATATATACTAATACTATAGGTATATCTGTATGTACATAACGAAAAATCCCCAAGACACTCGTATTCTTTTATTTACGAGTAGCTTATGACGAACCTGCTTTTTTAAATATTAACACATACCCATATTACACTTACAGATGTATGTGCATACATACTCGTATGTATATGTATATATGTACGTAAATATTTCTCAATAATTCTACATCCAATGAATTGAACTTTTAAGTGCAGTAAAATAAAAAAATCAACAAAGGCAAGCAAAAATAAAATTAATAAAAGAATAGAAAAACAAAAATTATTTGGAAATATATTGATTAAAATATTGTAAGTATATAAATAAAAATGGTGATGTACTGAAAATTAAAAAGAAAAAAACACCAATAAAGTTAAAAGATTAAGAAAATTAATTTTTTTTTAATTAAGTAAATACTATTAAAAAGTCGCCAGTACGTTTTATTTGTCGTCAAAAAAAGTGCCTGAAATAAATGAAGTGTTTTCAATTATATAAATTACAAAACTCCTAATGTTGGAAATATTTTTGAAAGGAATTATCCCCTGTTTGAAAACTTAAATGCAATTAAATTAATAAGATATGTAAATGAAAGTAAGCAAAGTGAATTAATTTTGAAGAGAGAGGAAAACTTGCAAAGGTAAATATGTTTGAGAAGGGCTGCTACTTGTTATTTTTTTTTTAGAATATAGGCTGGAATGAAAGGTTTCAGTGATGTTTAGTGTAGTACAAAACATTTTCAGAGACCATGTATAAATTTCTTCATGGGATTATAAAAACAATTCAAAATCGCAGCTCAACTATAAATAAGCGAAAAAATATGTTCAAAAGCTTGTATTTTTTTTTTTTTTGAATAGTGAAAACAGTTAGGCATAATAAACAATTAAAATTAAATAAATTTCAGTTCCGCCAGTTTTGTATTCTATTTTAGTTTATTTTGCTAATTTGTGAATTTTTATCTTAAACTTGCAAAAGCGAAATCTCAATTCATTTACATTTTAGGTCATAGTTTGCAAATTTTCTTTTAGCGCATGATTTCAAAGATTCAGTTAAATTATTTAAAAAAATGAAATCATATCAAATTTGGCAAAAAGTGAAAATATATAAATATTTACTATTTAATAAATTTTTTGCAAAAAGCAGTTTTAGGGGAGTAAAAAATTTGTGTAGTTGAATGTCAAAATGCTTGAGTAATGTTTGTTAATTGACGCCAAACGGTCTTAGCAATTATACATATATTGAAATTACGTGCATGATTGAAGAAATGTTAATTAGTTTATGTATGTACATATGAATAAGATGACCTAATCCATAGTGTGTTTCAAAGCTTTTATTACTTGATTTTAATTCAAAGATATTGTTGCATAAAAGATACATATTTAATTTTGACTGCCATAAAAGTGGCATACAAAATAATCGGCGTTCAAGTAAAGATGTTTTTTTGTTTGCCAACAAAACGGATATTGCTAAAACACTTGCTCATGTAGATACATTTTTTATAATAATAATATTTATTGTATTTTTTGTACCATATTTTTCAAACAACTGTTATCTGCTTGGGCGCACTCAATAAGACAAACCAATCTTTCGACTTTCAGTGCTAATGAAGCAAAAATAATTTCACAATTAATAAAAAGTGTGCATAATGTTGCTTTAAACCATACATATATATACACACACATTTTAGCACTTATGCATTTAAATAAATATGCTGTCGATTATTAATTTCTTTTGTGAAAGCATAAATTTCTTATGTAATAAACCTTTCTTATTCGCATGGATCCTAATTTTGCTGAAACAGTAACAATTTATCGATATCTCATGAATGTCAATTTCACGATCACTGTATTTGTACCAATCGATAACTCACGAAGGAGAAAAACGTTATATCGCCGAAAAACTTATTTCCGGTGGTCAATCATTTGTATTAATATGATCGTGTTCATTATACAATATTATTTATTAAATTTTCAACTTCTATCACTTACCTTTGCCAGCGCAAAGCCATCCGGATTACAGCTGGGCAATAAATGGATTTCTGTAGTGTTCAACAATAGTTGCACTTCCGGAACATTTGCGTAATTCATAGTTAAATATTGTGCGAGAAATAATACCATTTGACGACCAACTGCCTCATCACCATGTATATTTGCGGTCACCTTAATCATTGGGCGCAATAGATCGCCATTTTTATCATCTTTGTTGCTCGCTGTCAACGCAAGCGCATACATTTGACGTCCCTTCAATGTTTTGCCAATGGAATATTTGGTAGCGAGATTTGGAAAGAGATCCTGTAGCTTGCCAAATAATGCACTTATTTCACCATTGCTTAAATAATGTGGCGCCGGATGTGTGATAAATGATTCATCTTCAACAATATCCGCTGGAGATGCAGAGCCCGCCGCCGCTGCTGCTGTTGCTGCAGCTGTATTGGTGATGTTATCGGCACCAGCAGTTGTATTATTAGTAACATTCTGTACACTGGCCGTGGCAAATGTTATGATCAAAGCAATTATGCAGCAGGCACGTATACCTTGCGCAGGCGTAAGAGATATCATACGCATGGCGATCAATTTAATTTAACTTTTTTAAACTTATTATGTAAATATATGTACGTACACAAACAAGTAGTTGAAAATCGAGTACAAATAAATAAGCACACACTAATTCATAAAGACTTGTATACATACACATGTATGCAAGCAAGAATGGGAAATTTTTCACGACGATACACTACTACGCGCCGCACCAATTACGAGCATGTAATCTTTTTTTTAACTTCTTCACAATAAACTATTAAGCAAATTACATATATATTATATTTACTTTATAAATATAATAAAATTTCACAGCACAACTTTGAGTTGCGCACTTGAGGCCGCAGCTAAGCTTAGCTGCTAGCATCTAGTTTGCTGACGTTGGATTAATTTTCAGCTGTGTTTTCTTTGTCTGCGCTGCGCGCAAATGCAAATCTTTGAGATACTTTGTATATTCACACGACCACTTTCACACACAATCACTTGCTGGAGCGCGTACACTTTATTTATTTGTTGGTATTTTAATTAAATTCGGAAAATAATACAGAATACTTTACACTTAGTTATATATATTAATAAAAAAAGTATTTTCCAACGGAAAGAAGCAGAGGTAATCAACCGACCGAATCGAGCGACACAAACTGAACTGTTCAATGGCTGAGAACGTATAGTATAAGCAGCAGCAGAGAATTTAGCAGTCAAAACACAAAGCTAAAACACACACTTACACAAACGCTTTTGTATAAGCTGTCAAAATAGACTGTCCGGTAACCGTTTGCAGGAACCGGATACAGTGGTTTATTGCTGATTAGTTTTTAATAAATTTTGTATGTGCTGACATGAGTGACATACATACATAACAGAATTTAATTATTATTTAACACAAATTTTGTTATAAAATTCGTATAACTTTTTTTCAAAAGCTTATTGTGAGCGTTTATTTTCTGTACCAACTATTAATAAGTGCCTATTGTTGCGATTCTTTATTAATTTTCAATGACTCAAACTTCCATTAAATTTTCACTCTAAGTTATTTTTAGTCAAAAACTATATGATATAAACTATGCTACATATTTTCAAAACTTTTCCATAAAAGCTTCATACTAAAAATGTGTGCACCCTGTGCCTTTTCCGCTTTTTGTTTTCACACCGTCTTCCGTTAATTTGTCAAAAAATAGACAGAAAATTCAGAAAATTTTCCGAACTGTCATTCGTCATTGCGAAAATTTTTTACTACGTGAGAAATCATCATAGTTGCGTGAATTCGAATTCAAATAAAATTTTTAGCCAGAAATTTGTGGCGATACGCTTTTCAAAAAAATCTTTACGTGGTGCAAATAAACATTTTTAAATGTTTGTTGAGGGTAATTTTTCTGTATCAGCAGTCGTCGCCCTAGCAGCGCAGATTAGCAGCAGCAGCAGCGACATAGAGTTATAAGAATCACAAAGAAAATAGTGCAAGATAAGAAAATAGTGCTCCAAAATAAAAAAAAAATCATCGTTAATTATATATTCTACAACCGAGGCAGCAAGTAATTGTGACTGTGTTTGTGCTTTTACGGCCTCACCAGCAAACCCACAAAAAAAAGCAAATAACAATAGCAGAACCATCGGAAACACTACCTCGTCAATACTGCACCAAAAGCGAACCTAATTAGATATCTGAATACATTATGCCACAATCACGTGCTGCCGCAGCTGAGGCTGCGGCCACTGGATGTGTTCCACAACCACTGGTTAAAATTGGTCATTATCTGTTGGGCGCAACGCTCGGCACGGGTACATTTGGTAAGGTGAAGATTGGCGAACATCAGATGACGCACCATAAAGTGGCAGTAAAAATCCTAAATCGTCAGAAGATCAAAAGTCTCGACGTTGTTGGTAAAATACGCAGGGAGATACAGAATTTGAAACTCTTCCGACATCCCCACATCATTAAGCTTTACCAGGTATATACATATGTATATAATTATATATATTTTTTTCAATATGTTCAACTAATTTCTTAATTGCACTATCGCGAAGGTCAACAGAGGTGCTTTTTCGCTTCCGCTTATTTATATATTTTTAATTTATTTTTTTTTAACGTCGACGAAATATTTTAAAACCCTCTTATTTCTCAACCCGCAGGTAATTTCAACGCCTACAGACATTTTTATGATTATGGAGTACGTTAGCGGCGGGGAACTCTTCGATTACATCGTCAAACATGGAAAATTGCAGGAGCACGAAGCACGTCGTTTCTTTCAGCAAATAATCTCGGGCGTCGACTACTGTCATCGTCATATGGTTGTGCATCGTGATTTGAAGCCCGAAAATTTGTTGCTGGATCATAATTTACATGTGAAGATTGCCGATTTCGGTTTGTCCAACATGATGTTAGATGGTGAATTCTTACGCACCTCTTGCGGTTCACCCAACTACGCCGCGCCCGAGGTCATATCCGGTAAACTCTATGCTGGCCCGGAGGTGGATATCTGGTCATGTGGTGTTATACTTTATGCTTTATTATGCGGCACACTGCCATTCGATGATGAACATGTGCCTACATTGTTCCGAAAAATCAAATCGGGCATCTTCCCAATACCAGAGTACCTTAACAAGCAGGTGGTCAATTTAGTTTGTCAAATGTTGCAAGTTGATCCACTGAAACGCGCTACTATGGAGGAAATTAAAAAACATGAATGGTTTCAAAAGGAATTGCCCTCATACCTCTTCCCATCCTCCATTGAACAGGATTCAAATGTCATTGATATCGTTGCAGTTGCCGAAGTTTGTGGCAAATTCGGTGTAAAAGAGACGGAAGTGCACAACGCACTACTAAGCGGTGATCCCCACGATCAGTTGGCTATCGCTTACCATTTGATTATCGATAATAAACGTTTTGCTGACGAGGCTGCAAAGACAGAGATCAATAATTTTTTCGTAGCCGGCTCGCCGCCACCAGCTGCGCACTCGCCAAGCGAACGCCCTGAACCCATCGGACCAACCGCTGTCAACACCGCCGGCGGCGGTTCAACCTCCGGTACCTCTACGCCAGGTGGCACCAGCAGCGCCATGCGTCCACATCCTGAGCGTATAGCGCCAATGCGCGAACGCCAACTCGCCATGTCGGTGCAGGCATCGGGCGGAGCGGCATTTCCTGAGAAAGCCGCACGAGGTACACCCATCAAGCGCGCTAAATGGCATTTGGGCATACGTTCGCAGAGTAAGCCCAATGATATAATGCAGGAAGTTTATCGCGCCATGAAGGCGCTCGACTACGAGTGGAAGATCATAAATCCATATCATGTACGTGTACGTCGTCAAAACCTCAAGACGGGCAAATTCTCGAAGATGTCTTTACAGCTGTACACCGTTGATTCCAAAAGTTATTTGCTTGATTTTAAATCTTTAACCAATGAAGAGGTCGAACAAGGCGATGACGTCATATTGGAGAGCTTGACACCACCGCCGCTAAGTGTACAAGGTGCCATGCCGCAACAGCCAACTGGGCACCACACAATGGAGTTTTTCGAGATGTGTGCCGCATTGATTATACAATTAGCACGTTAAATGTGGGGAAAATTGGAAAATAACTAACAAGTAGGAAGTGCAAAGCAAGCGGGGTACACAAAACTATTTTGTAGCAAAGTAAAGTGAAGTGGGAGGTGAAGGTGAAGGTGCCTATTTGGTTGTAACCAGCATTGGTAGAGCAACCAACAGAAGTTTGTGTAGTAGGAAGTTTTATTATATTGATTATCGTAGTATCGCTAACGCTTTTATTAGAAATATAACAATTAAAAAATTGGAAAAAAGAACACACATCTTTTACGTTACAGCTGAAAAACATTAACGAGTTATATTTTATTTACGAGTTTTATATCGGGTTATAGCATTTATATAAATGAATGATAGTTTTTTTTCCAAAATTGAGCAAATATTTGATCAAAAAATTTAATTCAGTTATAAATCGCTTTATTTGCTAAAAGCCTAAATTTTTACACATTTTAATTGTTTGTAATTTATTGGTTAATAATGCACACATTATGGCTTATATAAATCGTCATTAAGTAAACCGTAATACATAGTTATGTAATTTTTGATTTATAATCAGCAGGCAATTACTCGTTAATACAACATATGTATGTATGTAAAAGAAAAAAATTATACTAAACTTAACTGCAAAATGCAATGTTGTAAATAAAGATTTACGTACTAAAAATCGGTATTATTAATTATTTTTTTATACAGGCATTTAAATTCACTTTTCTGCGCTTTCGAGCGGCTCTTCACCTGATTGTTTCTTACGTTTCAATTTATTTATTAAATTCTCTATACTATTCGCATCCACTAAACCGATAAATTTGTCCACTACCACGCCATTGCGGAACGCAAGTACGGCAGGCACAGCCTTAACCTCGAAAGTCTCCACCAAATCGGCATTTGTATCCACATCAATGGTCGCCAAATCGATTTCTTCCGAATCGTCTAAGAGTTCGCTCATTTTTGGCGTAAGAATTTTGCATGGATCACACCATTCCGCATGAAAGTTGACAATAACCGGATTGTCGTTGTTTATTACCTTTAAAAAAAAAATTAAAAATCGATTGCATAATGATTTGTTATAAAATTTTATAATTGAAAAATACGAAAATTCTTACTAACTTTTTGATCGAATTCATAGTGATCCTTCACATCCACTTTACGCTCATGGCACTGCGTTTGCGATATGAATTTTTGGCATGTCGTAGCAAATCCAGGAGCCAAACGTTGGCAGGTGATCTGTGCCGCCCCGCTTGCCAAACTATTGAAAGCAAGTTTTAGCATCTTTCGCTTATTTATTAAATAACAACTGCAATGTAAACAAATTATCAATCAATATTGTTAAAAGCAAAAATATCTACACTATATTGGTACTAAAATAAAATATTAACACATTTAGATCGATCGTTGAAGCGCTTATCAGAAACGATCAAAAAAAAATATACATACATATGTGCATAACCACTTGGATATGTGTTTAGGTAAGCCTACGTGCTGAAATGACGGGCCTGATGTTTTCGAGACAAGCTCAACTATTATTTATGTATGTATTAGCGTAGCAAAAATACTGAACTGCTTACCTGTTGATTATAAAAATACGCAAATGATTAACAGTGCTCTAGATACATACATAAAAAAATATTTTATTTTTATTGTTATTCTGTTTCACACTAATTTTCCATCAGCTGTTCAGTAGAGAACGTAAATACAACTCTTCACTTAACGTCGTAAAAAAGTCCGATTTTCTTTTATTTGGCTTGAGCTACGTAAAACCTTATGCGTGCAAATAAATTGTAATAAATATTAATATCAACTTAGATTTTATACTATTTCATAAATTTTTATGCTTGTTTTCGAAATATTTATCTATATTTTTAGAATTTACACGAGAAAAGTGGCGAATGTAATTTTTTTTATGAAAAAAACTTTCCTATAAATCGCAAATGTCATGACAAAAGTAACAGAAAGGTTACCGTAGTCACTTAACAAATGCATAGCTACAGTGCTTGTCAAACCTTTGAAATGTAAATACTTTTTACGTCAAAAATTTTTTTTGAAAATAAAATAAGATTATAACAAAAAATGTAGTAAAATAAAATGATATTAAATAGTTCAAATTAAATTAAACTAAATTAAAAATAAAATTAAAAAATATATATATACTAGAATAAAAAAAAATAAGTTAAAATAACATATTTTGAAATCATGTCAAATCAAAATAAAAAAATAATTTGAATAGAATAAAGTATATAAAATTAAATAAAACAATATAAAATAAAATAAAACTATAAAAAAAATAAAATAGAATTAACTAAAGTTAATTAAAATGAAATAAAATATATTATAATAATTTATTAATCTTACCAAAATAAAATTAAAAGAATATATGGCACAATTAGAACAAAAATAAAATATTATTAAGTAAAACTAATTCAAATGAAGTAAATAAAAAAATAAGGCAATCAAATAAAATAAAATAAAAGAGAAAAAATAATATATATATGTTATAAGATTAAATCAAATAAAATATAATCGTCTAGGATAAAATAAAATTTAACCAAGTTATATTAAATTAAATAATGTAAAAATAAATAATTTTAAATGAAATTAAATAGAAATTAAACTAAAAATATAGAATAAAATAAAATAAAAGAAAGTTATAACATAAATTAAGCAAAATCAAAAAACATAAACTTAAATTTAATTTAATAATAACCTAAAGAAATGTAAAATACAATGAAACAAAGCGAAATAAAACTAGATAAATTAATGATAAATGATACTTAAATAAATTACATAGTACTTGCATTCATATTTATTGTACACATACATTTGGCTCTAACATTTGTGATTATTTTACTAATAAATAATAAATGTTACAATAATCGCATATATATGTATGTATGTATATACGGGCCCACGCACCTAAGTGCGAGATATGTTGCATTTATGTACATACATAGGTAAAGAGATACATACATAGATACATATGTATATATGTACATATGTACATTTTTATACGATAAATTAAGCATATTTTATATGATTAATCATAATATAAACATTTTATTATACTTTTCTGTCGATGAGTAATGAACTTCATGGTATGAGACGGTTAGAGTTACGTATGTATATGGCACCGAAATTGATGAAGAGCCAAGAATTCCAGTTTTCACAAATTTGTGAGAGAATAATATTTGGTTAATATTTTTACGATTCCCATTGTGCATATCACCATCACCAAATAGGATACGTCAATGTAGGCCGCCGCTAAGATAGTGACACCGATATGGCGCTGTTAATAGCGGCTGTGGCGTTATAGGCGTCTGCCACTATAGCGCGCACAAACTATAGATAAGATTATATTTTTACGATTTCCATGCAATTTGTTTCGTTTGAGAGTTTCCCAAAAAACAGTAAGTAGGTGCTCTCGGAAGGTGTAAAGCGTCTTCGCCGCGGTCGATTAAAGCACGTCGAGTTGTGTACGCAAATATGGATTTTCACGCCGACAAACCATTTTTGTGCGAATGCATCTGACGTTAACTAGCGGATATTAAATGAGAAATATTGTACATAACTTTTAAAAGCTTTTGTTTGCGTATTTGTGCATGAAAAACGACCAAATAAGTATATGAATAGTCCATAAAATAATTAAAATTTTGTTTAAAGAAAACATTCGATTGCAGAGACTCGCAGTGTATTGAATTACAATTGGTCTGCTACTAATAAATAAAAAGTAAGCAACGCTTTCATACATACTATGTACTATATATGTACATATAAAAAGCGAATGCATTCATATTTAAACAGTGTTATCTACTTATAAGCACTTCCATATGTACATATATATGTATGTATATGCGGTTGCTCCTTCTGAGTAGTTTCTTGAGCCGCTCGCTAAAGCACAGAATGTGATAACCGATATCGGTTTTGAATTACGAGTTCGAGAAACAAATCAAAAACAGAAACAAAAATTAAAAAAAATATACACAGTCACCTTACATGTATTTATAAATGTATATGTATATATAATAATTTGTGAGCATATACATATAGGATATTTTTTTTTTAACCCCTTCCCGTACAACCCCCAATATGCAAACGGGCAGCAGTAGTAATAGCAGTCACAGCTGCCACAGTCATACACAACGCCTAAATATTGCAATACCCACAACGCCAGTCACTCCTAGTACGCCCGACTCAGCGGGCATACTAATCGGTGCTGCTGGACAGGCTGTTCACGATAAACGTAATAAAACGATTATGCACTATTTTCGCGACCGCACACCGAGTCATACGCGTGCACAACAACAACAATATATAAACAATTCCAATTATAATCGCGAACAAAAAGTGGGTTTTAGTCGCAAGCGACAAGAAACCAGAGTTTATTTAAAGGAACCGCCGCGTTCAGCAATTAACAAACTGGCGTTATTAAGCACAAGTATGCGCGATTTATCGCGTTTAACGATTGATGAGAAAACACCAGACATCATTGCACCAACAGCCAATGTGCATTTTGATAGTTCAACAAATAGTAGTGCGGCTTCTGGCATGTCCAATGAATCGTCGGCAGCGGAACAGCGTAAACGTCAACGTGGTCAGCGTGATAGCTTGAAGTACTGTGAAGGATATTGCGCGCGACGTATCACTGAATTGGAACAACGTGTTTCACAATTAGAGCAGCAAGTGCAAAATGAACGTACCGTTGCAAAGGATTTGTCCACACGCATACAGGAACTCATACGACGCGTTGAAGATCTGAGTCTGTTGAAGGCGCCCGAAAAGCGGAAACTGACCAGTTTCCGCAGAAAAAATGTGCAAACAAATGCTACAAACACACAGCCATCGGTGCAGCCATCCAAATTAGTGACGTGGATGAATTTGTCAAATTGGTTTAAGCAGCGGCCGACTATTGCGACGTTGAAGGAGCAAAATATCTACAATGGTGAGTAATTAATTAAAAATTCGCATTGCGGTTGTTGGCAGAAGAAAAGGGAAATACCGATAGATCGATAGACTAGCGCCTACAATGATTGTAATCGATTTATTGATACATTCAGTGAATGCTTCCGGTCAGTGCCGTTGTATTTTGAGGAGAGTGTTAGTGTACAGAAAATTTGTGAAATATGTACATATTAATATAATGCTTTGAATGCTTGTGTTTTAGAATTTAGCAACGTATATAACCTAATACTATACCTAACTATAACTACAGTCAATGGTTATCGATTTATCGATTATATGCCAACGGAAAAGCGAACATTGGCCATGACACTTTCATTTTAATAAAAGAAAAGAACAGTTTTCAAACAACATGCATACTAAAAATCAGCGTTAGAAAAATGTTATTACTATTTGCACTGTGAACGCATGCGATTCGTACAACTATAAATTTAATCAGACTCTCTATTGATATCAATTCATAATGATAACAAGTTCTTTAAATAACGAACTAAAGTTATAATAAAAAAGCAAAGCTAAAACTCACTTTCAAGTATTCATATATTATATTTGTACGTATACGTTGTTATGAGTGTACATATGTATATAAGCATGTATGTATGTAAATATTTATTTATGAAATTATGCGTATTCCAAGCGATAAAATATTTGAACATATTACGTATTTGCAGTATAAATTTACATATACATATGTATATGTGTATAAATATTGATATAAATATTACAGAGAAAGGGCAAGTACTTCATAAACAAAAGCGTATGCTATATTTGTATTACATACTTATCGGCAGGCTATGTGGTACAGTGCAAAGCAAACCCTCTTTCATAATTGGCTAGCCTTGTTTTGGACAGTGATAAGAGCGCAAAGTGTATGCTTAAAAGTTGACCTATATACATATATGTATATCGTGTTTTGGGTGAACTAGTTAAATGCCCATGTGCTTTTGTGAAATATATAGATCCTGCAACAAAAAATTGCATTTAAGTACTTTTCATTTACATAGTATGTACATTTATATGCATTTATATTTTAAATCTATATTAACACATATTTTTTTCTTTTTACCTATTAACAGATGAGCCCTGCTTTGATACGGAAATCGAAATGGTGCTAAAACATGAAATCCACAAAACAGTACCAAAAATCGTTGTAGACTGCTGTGATCTGATTGACGAACGTTACCGTAACTCTACGGAGCCCATCGAGGGCATTTATCGTCAATGTGGGGATTATAATAAAATCCAGACTCTACGCTTTCGTATCGATGCAAATGATTATGCGTCATTGCGTCAAGCAAATATCGATATTTATACGTTAACTGGCGTACTTAAATTATTTCTGCGTGAAATTAAACATCCACTTGTAAGCGCAAATGAAGCGAAGACTTTTATTGGTCAACCCAATCAGTGGTGTAAGTTTTGGTTTTTCTATTAAAAAGAAAAATATGAGTAATATCTAAAGTATTTCATTTATCATAATAAGTAAATTAAATACAAACATACATTTATATTTATATTACAGTGCTCACCGATTTAACGGCGAAAATCGAGATTTTAAAAAGACTGATCCGTACGCTGCCGGAAGTCAATCGTGATACAATGAGTTATATATTTGCGCACTTTAATAAGTGAGTTAATTAGTGTAAACAAAATACTTTAAGTAGTAAGTAAAAAAAATAAAAAATTTCTACTCACAGACTGACGAAAGTGCCGCTACAACAAATCAGCGCCGATACGCTTGCCATTTCAATTTCGCCCACCATTTTCCATCCGGTACAGAAGGGGGCGAATACGCAGGACTTGAAGGAGATCATCAAAGAGGGTCAGCTGTTGGCGGATTGTGTCAAAATAATGATCGAATATCACAGTCGTATATTCGAGTAAGTGCTGAAGTTGAATTTTATGTTTCTATATGTTTGAACTTACTTACATATACATATGTATGTATTTGTGTGTTTATTGTCTTGTTCTTGTCTTTCTCTCCAATTTATATTTTAAAATTAAAGAAATATTTGAATTTACGGCTTTCACCTACCCCTTACATCATACAGATGTCCAGTGGAGCGGCGACATAAACGCATTAGCGTACGACGTTTGCGGAAAACTTTGTCACAACCAGATTTGTTTTTTCAAAATTTATTTTAAATGTGTGTAAGAAGGCATAATTTTAAATTGTATACACTTAGTATTTTATAAAGTAATAAAAATGCGACATGTACATATATAGTTTTAATAAAAATGTTTTATTTACATATATATTTAATACATACATACATACGAATAAGCCCACTAGAAACAAAGAAAATATTACCCCGATTTTCAAGCTTAATGCTATTCCTCTTGTAAGCGTAGACGATGTTGCGTAAGAAATGCTACATCAAAAATGGCTTCCTGTTGCAGCAACTCATGTACTTCATATTTCATAGACTCCTCATAGGCGTATAGTATACTTGTGTCATACAGCATCATCTTGCAATGCGCCAACGCTAAGATGCAATTGCGCAGTCTCGCAATCACTTCTCGATCTCCACGTGGTATAACTTCGTTCAGGTTCTGTGCATAGCCACCATCACCGCCATCTGCTTCACTATTCACCGTAGGTGATATCCAAATGAAACCATTGTTACCGAGTATAATCGACGCACCACAGGTTAGATTGTGAAAGTGCGTCTTACGTCGCTTCACTAAAGAGGGAAACACTTTTACAAGCACACCCTGTGATAATTTACCATACTTCAAACTTCGCGTATAAAGTGACAATGTGCCTTCATCGAATATATTCTGCACTTCCGCAGATATAAGATCGCCTTCCTGGAGGTATTTGCGCATCATTTGTTCATCTTCAACGCCTCTGCGGCGCAGCTCACCACCCGGTAAATTTACTGATGACAACAGTAATACGGAGTCCAAGCGCGAATTCGTGTTTACCTTCCAACGACGTTGTTGCACTTCAGTAATACGGGCCACTACAACATCACCGATTTCGCCCACATAACGACTCTTAAGTGGCTTTATCGAGATGAGCTTATTCACTTGTTCCATAACACCAGCAACAGATGCCTTTATGTCATCTCCTTCCACATAAGTGCCGTGGCCTTTCATGAAACCCAATTGACCGGTGACGACCTCGCCGGGAGTATAAAGCCTCGGTGCTCTTGTTTGATTTTGTGCCAATAGACCCATATTGACACGGTCAAGAGCCAGCCGTATATTAACGTTAGTGGACATTTTCCAAAACTTTTGTTTTATTAAAAATTTACTGTTCCTTTAAAATTGTGCTGAAGAAGTGAATGAGATAAACAAAACTTACACGCGCATATAAGCGGTGAGTTGCCAGAAATTTGAAAAATTAATAAAAGCAAAACAAACACTTTTCAGTTAAAACGACGTAAGTGTGTATATTCAATAATTTGTTTACTACTTTTTTCTTTTGATAAATACCATAACTCTTTTACAATTCGTAACTAATTCAAAGAAAAAAGAAATTATAAAGTAATTATATAAAGTTATAATAAATTTTTGTACATTTTCATACTTTTAACTTAAAGAAAATGTTTTCGATTTTTTAGATGGCCTTTTGCCATCAACTTTTTGCCTATAACATACACATTTCTTTTATTGGCCACAATCGGCATACAACACGACTTTTCACTAGGCCTAAAGGTATTGGTCCATAGTAACGTGAATCCGCACTATTTTCACTATTGTCACCCTCGATCCAGATGCAGCCGCGCGGTACATATTCGTCTTGTAATTCTTTTAGTTTTTGCTTTTTACTTGCTGCGGCTGTCAAAGCATCTTCTTCGGTTTTCGTATCCGTTGTATTATTTTTTAAAACGATACGATCGCCTGGTATGCCCACAATCCGTTTACATATATACTGTTTGGGATCGGTGGGTGAAATTGCTATGATGATATCGCCACGACGCGGGTTATGAAAACGGGTAGTTATGCGCTCGGTCAGCAGGACGTTCTTCGAATGTAATGTTGGCTCCATGGATGGGCCGTTGCACTAGAGAAAGAATTGTTGTTATTCTTATGAAAAAGAAAACTAATGGTTTCTATTACCACTACAAAGTCACCGATATATTCGAAGGTGCAGTGTGTCATACAGGCATACATCATGCTGTATTTTACTATGTCTTTAACTCTCGAAAATATTGATACCATTTTTGTTTATTTTAAGCTTTTATCTTAAGCATTTTTAAATAATTTCTAATGAAACAAAATTTCTTAACCTGTGTTATCAGCTGTTGGAAAAACAATGTTTAACAGCTGATTTGTAGGCGTGCGTTCAGTGAATAGCTGCTATGTAGGAAATCGCTATACAGTACTCAATATAGTTTAAGGGGTATAAAAAACACAAATAAGAAATCTTGTAATTTACGTATACTGGTAATATTATTAGATGTAATTTAGATATCCGATTTCAGGCTAAATATAAATTAATCAAAGATATTTCACGAGACATAAAATTTTCTTTATTATGGCTTTAATCATCATTTAAACATTTATTTGGGTGTTTTTTGTAATACATAAAGCATGAAATTTTAGTGTTAATTTTTTCATTATATTTGTTTTACAATAATTAGTAAAATTACAAATATATATGTATAAATATGAGTATGTATGTCGCATTTCGATATGCATCCAGCCTGAATTGAGTCCAATATTCTCAACATACATACACAATTTACAATTTTACATCTACTTTGTTTGCTTGGAATTAGTTTTGAATTCATTTATAATTTTCAGTTGGCTTATAAATATATATTACAGCAACATGTTTACACATTTATAAACAATAAAATTTGTCGTTCCCGTATATCTCTCAATGAAATCTCCAATAACAAGTTATTACATGCTGTTATTCATTGTTATTAAATACATACTTATGTATTATGCATTTGGTATGCGAATTAAGCACAATTTTAGTTACAACAAAAATACTAGTGTATACTTCTGGTTTGGTGTATTGCAACATTCGATTTTTCCTTTTTTTCAATAAAATCTCAAATTAAAAATAACTAATAGTTTTCTACATACGAAATATAACACTACGATACATTTTATTAGAAATTAACTAATTAAATTTAAAGAATAACAATAAAATGTTGCATTTTAAATATCCAATAAATAAATAAATATCACTAACAACATTTATACTTGTAATTAGATGCATTCTCCAACGCGATTCGCATTAGCTCAATCTCAAAGGTCATCTTTTAACAGAATTATTCTGCTTTCTTGCCCTCTTCCTTTAAGCGCTGAGCCTCACGTTCACGCATATCCAGTCCAACCAAGTCAATACTGGCTATATAAGCATGCAAGCAGGATATCAAAGACTTGAGTAGAGCAAATGGCGCCATAACAATAGCCAAAAGTTTAAACAGTGAGATACCAAAAACTGTTAAATAAAAAAGTGGAAATTAATAAAAATTTAATTGACTTACATATCAAGCGGACACTTACTCAAAGGTCCATAAGTGAAATATAAAAGATACAAACAAACGTAAAAGAGCTCATTTGCACAGCACATAAATGTGAGTACATTTTTCTGATAGTAAGTGCGCATTATCACATTTTCCTTTACATCGAATGATTTGTGTGATGCCTTTCCGATCAAAACGCTCCTATGAAATTTTTGAATACATAAATTATTTTTTACAAGTTTAAAAATGTGTATTTTTCTTTTAACTACTCACGTCTGCATATAGAGCCAATGACAGGCGACATCTATAGCAATTGAAACCTGGAACCAAAACATATATTTCGGATAAAAATAACTGAGCGTTACTAAAAGTCCCATTGTTCCACAGCGATCGGTCAATTGATCCAACATGGCGCCAAAACGTGTGCCTGAGTGGTTTAGAAAAATGAAATTGGCATTTTATTTATAAATTTAAATTATAGAATACATAAAATAAATAAAATAGGTGTATATTTATACATATATATTATAGTATTGGATTTGCATTTAATTACTTTGCAATGATACTGTCATTTACGTTTTGACTTTTGGACTTGCAAACATTTGTAAACACCATTACATATGTACAAACATATGTTTATATTGCAAATAGTCTTCAGATATGTACCTTAGTGTTATATACATACATACACATAGATGACGACACGAAATGTAATCATCCACATACATACATAAATATATATATTTATCAATAAAACATATACATATATGTAGGTATACATAACTTTTATATTAGTTTATATGACATATTTATAAACCTTAATAAATATCGACAATTAATCTAGCGATTTTATTACTTTTTTTATTCATTTATAGAGACTTATAAACAGAAAAAAAATTAATGTAAATCTTGGTGCTTACTTTGATTAAATGCACGTGCCGCATGCCCATCTACCGCATCGAGTAGGGCACTAATAACATAGCACCAACCAGCGGCTACGTAATTGGTGGACATGAACCAGAAGGCAATCAATGCCAATACAATTCGTGCATATCCTGTGAATAGAACGAAAATAAAACTCTTAGGTGAAATAAAAATCAATAGTTACTCATAATACATCAAACATTAGACATAATTTAATTAGCAAGCTTCTTTTCACTTTGTTCTTGTCACATAAACATATATATACATATAATATATATAATATATATGTATATATGCTCAATGCATTTTTTCACGTACCAATTAAGTTTGGAATGAAAAGGAAGACATTATCATGTTCCAGCTGAGCCATACTACTTCTGAGAAACTGTCCTAGCTGTTGCTTTGTTATCGCTGGGACTACTAAATGCTTGTCGGCCGTATTGCACTTTTTTAGTACGTTGTCTTGCTCCTCTGACCCTGCACCTGGTGATGATGACGGCAGCAACGTTTATAGTGAGTGACGCTAATTGCAATTTGTAATGCGTTGACGAAGTTTTAAATGTTTTTTTCCACTAATATGAAATTTGTACAATTTATTTCGTTTTAATAACTTATTAAGTGATGGATATTCTGCTTTTGTAATTGTTTCTTTCTGGAATGCTATTTTAAAATGCAACACGCATTTCACTATAGTTTTAAATATGTTTTCAATTCTATTGGAAGAACTTTTTCTTACTGATAGAATTTGTCTACTCCACAGAACGTAGAGGTTGTTCAGTGTATGCTAATGCAAAATAAAAATACTACGTCTAGGGTTGCAATACAATAAATAAATAAGATATATATTTAAAAAATGAATTTAATATTTCCTCACTATTTGAAATTATACTTCTGTAAGGCATTTAAATGATTGTAAATATTAATGCATTAATAATTTGAATCAAACTATTTTCCTTAAAACTGCAAAATGTTTTGCTTAACAATATCAATACTAATATTAATTAGCCATTAAATTGCAATACTGTTGGGAAATTTTTGCTCGTTCATCGCGAAGGTGAACGGAACGAAAAAACCTCGAATAGATTTTCTGGTCGCAGTCCTTGTGAATTTTAAGCAGACAAATTTACGCATTAAAACCGTGTGAAAATCTATAAAATTTAATTAACTATAAATAATTGCCTTCAAAAAACGTTTATGAATCGAAAGAAAGTGTAAATCTATGTGTTTTGTGGTAGAAAATGTGTTGGAAAAATTAGCTTGCAAGGCACAATGAAAAACTAAGTAGAAGAAGCATTAGTGGCACCGTGTATATATACATTTGTGTGTGTGTAAATGTGCAAAGCAGAACAGAAAGGTGGAATACGGCGTGAATGAAAAAACGTAGGAACATACGAAAAGGATTAATAGTGCGGGTAGAAAAATAGTTAGAACGTCGAAGTAGTTGCACGTAGAAAATATATTCAAATATGTGCATTTAAAGTTAGATCTGGAGTAAAGATTTAACATTCGCCTAAAAGATTAATATGACATTCATTCATTTGTTGATATAGAGAAGAAAACATTTTGTGGATGGTTGCATTCATTGCTATACCAAAAGCACCCTTGATGCGAAAGGTTTGTAATTTTTCATTCAGCTGTTATCGACAAAGTAAATGCATCTATTCATTTGCTTGTCGTTAACGGGAGATTGTGTAAAGTATGCAATATAATGCTTTAAAAGTTAAAAATTCATTTAAGGTGCGTGCGTTTTCGAATGACGTGTTTTCCAACCACTGTTATATTAGGAGATGATGCAAACTTAAAAAATCATGCGCGTATTGTGCAAAATTAAAAATTGATTCTCATTGTTAACTGCCAGAAATATAACAATGCAACTACTATCTGAAATATCAGCAGCTTTTGTTGTGAAAAAATGTAAAATATTGTACCTGCTGTAAATTACCTCATTTTCCATATTTCCCTTTCAGTAGAGATTTTAAGGTGCTTTTGCAAAAATTAAAAAAAAAAATCAGAGTTGCATTTTTGTGGATCAAATAAAAGGTATTGTTTAATTTTTTAAACTTGAAGGAATCTCGTCAATTTGTATTATCAAAATTGAAGTGTTAAACTAATTTCCCCATCTTAGGCTAATTAAGTTTTTTTTTTTATTTTAACTTTAAAAGCTATATTTGTTTTTAATTTAAAATTTATTTATATTTTCCTTTGATTTTATTTGTTTTTTTGGCAGCAAAAATAGGTATGTGCTATAGTGTCTTCTCCTTTGCACTATTTAGTTTCCCGTATGCGGCTTATTAGTCAAATGATTGAAATGGCGATTTTTTTGACAGTCGCCTTTCCTTGTATTTTGCTGTTGTGTATGTTACGCAGCGAAAAATCGTGTAAAATGATATGAGAAGTTTTTATAAATCAAGAAGTGCTATTGAAAATTAATGTAAAAGTAAATTAAGAACGTGCCAAAAAATGTGAAAGAAACTAAATAATATTACATATGGAAATATTGCAAAGAACGATTTCACAAAGTATATATGTAGATATAATATATGAGAAAGAAATTAATTTATATGTAAATTATTTGGTTTTCAGTGCAGATACATACATATCTATTTTGCATTGAAATAATGCATTAAAATGGAATATTAATTAAAAATTAATGAAAAGTAAATAATTTAAGAAAACACAGCGCTGCAGACAAATAAAAATCTAAGTCAATCATTGGTTGCATGTGTAACATTTATTGTGGTTACATACGCCAACGTCGTCATAGCCACGTACGTCCAAGGCGTGTACAACGGTTTGCGGTGGAGCTATCATTTCTAAAATATCAACGGTAGTGGAGCCGAAAGTAACATCCTTTTTCAGCCGCGAATGAATTAGAAGTTTACCTAAAGTTTGGTATAGTACATCGTCCGTTCCCTAGATAAGAAGCAAGAATCTTTAGGCATATTTTTTCCAAACATTTTTATCACGATTCCAGCACCATATAGCCATTTTATTCAGACCATTTTAATGGCATTTCTTTGCCCAACTCCCCTTTTGGTGCGGAAAAATGAACAATGAAATCAGTGGTAAGACTCTTCTATCCGTCACCGCATCGATCGCCGCCACTATCATACCAGACACACCTATTGTGTCCATAGCCGGTGCTACATTAAGTGAAATAACCACCACAACCACCTCGACGACGACAACTCCAACACCCACACCAACACCGACAGCTTTCCTACCATCAATTAGAGCCAACAAAGATCACGGTGATATCACCAATTTGCCAAAAAATCCAATGTCTGATGCTGCTGTCAATAAGTCAGCAGGAGGCAACGGTAACGCCGCTGCAAGCCAAACGACAACTGCAATTAATGCATCAGCAGCAGCAGAAGGAGCTAGTATTGCCGGTAAAAATTCATCAATAGATTATGCGCCTATTGAAAATACCACCGTTAATGCTGGAAAAACAGATGACGCTCCTACAAATACAACAACTACAACCGACACAAAGGTAAGCACATTTTATTGTACACAACACAGCTACTAATAGCAGAACAGAATCCAATCACTTGATAACAACCTTGAATAAATGTATATAGTTTATTTTTTATGTTTTAATTTTGCGGTGCTGTTGCTAATGGATGCGTAGTTGTTTCAATAATAGTAATGAAAATATGTGTGAGGCAAAGGGCAATATTACACGGCAGCAGCTTTTAGATAACTGCAAATGAAGTTGTGCCGTATCATGATCATAATTAATTGAAAATAAAATAAAAAAAATATTAATAATAAGACTCGAAGGAAATCGATAGTGTGGCCTTTAAATAAATGCACAATTTTTTACTGGATACGTATGTATATTTATGCATTGATACACACGCATGCAGCTACTGCTATCTATCTTTTTAATTTCACAGAACTTTCATAATTTTTTTACGCTAATTATCAATATCTTCTTCTCTAAATTCAGAGTGGAAGTGATAACTGATTTTGCTTGCATATATTTATACAAACATGTATACATATGTTCATACATATATACATATGTGCACATTTCTATACATATATATATAGTTCCAAGATAAAGCAATGTCGTGTGAACAGTGGAAAATAGAGACCCAGTTGTACATATATATATACTTGCTAACATATGTATGTTTGTATGTATATGTACATATATTAAATGGAATAAGCGGTGGAAATAGAGTAGCAATTTCTTTCTAACCTTCATACTTTGACCCACACTTTCTAAATGTGGACACTCCGTGGGCAATATGTAAGGCAAATCGAAACAAAGCTTTAACTTTGTAAGATTCCAACCTTTAACAGCATTATTAGGTGTCACAAAATGTACACAAATTCTCTATTAAGGAATTAAACGTCGTTTATGCGTTGATAGTTAAAGATGGTATATACAATACATACATATATCATATACTCATTTGTGTAAACAGTACATATTTATGTACATATTTACATGCATGGGTATCTATGCAAAGGGTTCCTTCGTTCTTATACATATTTATAATATCGTGCATTTGCATATATTCATTTACGTACCGACTGTTGCGTACACCTCGCCATATCATGTACTTTGGCACTCGAAGGTGTTTGTGAAAATGTTTTTTTTTTTCTCTTTTTTTTTGAATTATTTTATTTATTTTTTTCTTGCCTGTTAGTCACACAGTCATAAAAGTAGACAAAAGCTAAAACTGTGTGTGCCGACGATTACATTTTACCTATCAGATTTTGATAAAACATAGAAAACCGCAATGCTCCGTTAGGTGGTGAGCGCAGAGACAACTCCCAATTAACAAAAAAAAAAAAAAAAAAAAAAAAACCGCGATAGCAATACTGCTGCAACAAGCGGTTTGAAACGGCTGACTCGTTGGAAGACACAAACTCAGTTCGTTGATATTTCGTGCTTACGTCCGTCCGGGAGCAAGTAATGTGCTAAAATGTTTAATTTCTAATGCAATTCGAAAAAAGACAGTACCGAAAGGATAACGCAACGTAAATATTTTTTTTCATTTACTGTTTAATCTTCACCTTTTATAATAAAATGTATACTGCAAAAATTAAATGAAAGAAATTTTAACACTTTCAGTGATATTGTGTATTGTGATAAAGAATTGAACGCGTATGACGTTATTAGAATGGATTATCGTAAATTTGTTTTATATTGATAAGAAAACTGCAAAAATTTAATTGCTAATATAAAGATTGCCAAAAAAATATACATACATACATACATACAAACCTACACACATGAACATAAATTCAGTTCAGGAAATACTAACGGGTTTTTGAGAGAACCAGGCGCATTACATATGAACATGCATACATATAAACAATATGAAATGCACCGTTTTATATATTTGGACTAGAGAATATTTGTGAAGTCAAATTAAAAAAAAATATTTAAAAAAAAAATTAAAGTGTCTATTTGTGTAGCTTGTTCTTATCTAGCTTCCTTGTACAAATGTGGTAACCATTGGCCCATTACTAAACTTTTCTCTATACTTTTCGACATCGTCTTAGATTATACGCAAACTTTTTTCTCAATTTCTTTATTTTTTTTTATATATTTCAGATATCTGATGTATCTGATTTGGAAGAACCAGAATTAAAGAAGTTACTCGACGAAGCCTACAGTTACAAGGCGCCCAAAGATAAAAAGGACAAAAGCGAAATATTTTTGGTAAATTATTATTTAAAACGCCGCATAAGAAATAAATTTAAATAAATTGATCTTCTCAAAAAGAAATTTTTTTTAATAATAATTAACAATTTACGGTAAATATTGTAAAAAACAATTTTCACTAAATTTTTTTAATTATTTTTACATAAAATGTTGCTTATATTTTTTTAAATACCCATAAAAATTTTTTTTTCTAATATGAAATTTTAATTAAAAAAAAACTAATCAAAAAGTCCGTAAAATACAAATTCTCTTTGAGAAAAATATAAAGTAATTATTTTATATAAAATGCAGTTCTATAGAGATATAGATATTGTATAAAAATTTAAATTAAAAACAGTAAAAATCCACGAAGACAATTTTAATAAAAAAAAATTTAAAATTTTAATTTCAATTGAAATCATAATCATAATCATTTTCAACAACTTATCTCGCAGGATTTGCTACAAAAAGTGGAGAATGAAGACCTTGGCATAATATCGACCCGCTCCGAGAGTCATCGTCATCATCCCCATTCGCAAAGTCGTCACCAGCAAAAGCAGGGTGGCTCGTTGCAAGATCTCCTACAGTTGCCATCCGATTACCGTCGGCAGAATCACACATCTCGTCACAAGAAGAACTCATCAGTCTCTTCACGGCAACGAGAAGGTGGCAGTTTACCCAGCAACGTCAATGTTGCCAATTGCCTGCTAAGCAGCTTCGGCCAGCAAACAAACGTCTATACGGACAAGCGTGTGCGGCGTGGCATATTTCCAGGCGTTGATACCGCCTTGAATAGCAACAAAACATTGGTTGGCGTAGTTGGACTGTCAGTTGGTGATCCAAACGCCAACTGTTTGCTGAGTACTATAGAGCAACATACCGATAAGCCAGCGCGTCGCGTTGTTGGCTTGGCTGGTGGTGATCCGACTACCGCGAGTGGTGTAGCAGCAGGCACTGTTGCTGGCGGTAGTGGTGGCTTAAATTCTGTAAGTTTATGCAGCGAGGAAAGCGGCAGCGGCGGTGTCGGTGCTAGTGTGACAACTGTCAGTGGCGGTGCTGGCAGCATGGCGACCACAGCAAGTGGCCATAATGTCGGTGGCACAATGGCAACGGGCACTGGGCTTGGTAATAGCGGCGTTAAGTCCGTCAATTCCATTGGTGGTAGTAGTGATTACATTATAAATATTGGCGATATGATAGATATACAGCAGCAGCAACAGATTTTACCGTCGAAAACACAAGATTACGGACAGGTAAGCAAACTTGTTGCCATTATGTAGCCTTTATATTATTACCTGTGATCATCTCAGATTTTATCATATTACGATCGAGTCGATATCGATTTGCATATACCACATCGTAGTATACGTGGCGACTTCGTACCAGCACGCTCCCATCATTACGTCGACGAAGTAATTCGTTTCCCTCAAATCGATGGCGGGGCCGATGGTAGTTTGTGTGAGAGTGGCGAAGTGGCCATTTCCGTCAATAATCTTGGCAATACACTCAAGTCGGCAGCTGCGTCCTGTTCCCTCCCGATGCCGTTAGATGAACGTTACCGGTCCATTAAATCGGTGATGGGCGAAAAGGGCGACGTTGCCGGCGTCGGAGCCAGTTTAAATGCAGGCGTTGCCGGCAGCAAAACTTCCGGTGCAACGGTTATACCAAATGCTGGTAGCATATCCAGCGTCAACGCCAGTAACAATGCTGGCGGCGTTGGTGTTGGTGTCGGCAGTAACGGAATCGGCATAGGCGGGTATGCAAAGGCGTTGCCAATGTCGGTAAGTAGGCAAAACATTTTTCATAATACACATTCACATATATACTATAAGGTAAATTTAATAATTAATATGCATATTTTTTGTCAGCGCCAAACCGATGAAAACGGCAACGATTGCGAACGTCAACAACACGCTAGCATTGTTGTTAGCAGCACTGGTCAATCGCAGGCGAAGGCCAAAGCTAAGAAGAAACCTCAAAAGGACAATACCATACCCGTCGATGTGGTGAACGAGGCTGGCTACCGTGGTAAGGACCCAGTTGAAGTGTTGGTCAAGTTCATTGAAAGCACTGAGGAGGATGGCAAACATGGTGGCGGGAGTGGCAACAGTAAAGTTGCCGAAAATAGCAAAAAGAAAGAACGTAAAAAGGAGAAAGTGAAGCAGAGTAAGATGAAGAAGAGTAATTCGCTGGAAGAACTACGCAGTTGTGCCAAAATCGATGTAGGCGAACTAAAACGATCGGCCGTAACCACCGAGAGTAACAATGTAACAATGCGCAGCAAGGGCAGCGGCGGAAGTAAGAGTGGCAAAAACAACTCATCATCTACTGCGGATATAAATAAGAATATCGATGGCGGCAAAGAAATGAACCCAACACCCGCAATCACAACTGCCGGTGGTGGTGGTGGTGGTAAGCAAGCGGCTGCCATCGTAAACGCCACGTCGAACCACCGTAAAGGCGAACGACGTTCTTGGGGCACAGAAGAGCTGCAGTATTTGGGTAATGAGGGAGGTAACAACGTTATTAATGTCATAGGTAACGTCGAAGCAGAGAGAACGAGAGATAAGAAAGAGAAGAGAGGTAAAGACAAAGACAAGGATAAAGATAGAGAACGGGATGTTGAAAGGGAAAAGGATAAAGGCAAGGATAGGGAGACTGATAAACATGATAAACTGCCAAACACAAAGAGTGATGGCGGTAATACGAAATATGAAAAATATGATAAATACGAAAAACTGGAGAAAACAGACAAATCGGACAAAGGTGAGAAGGCAGAAAAGACCGATAAGTCTGAGAAGCGTAAAAAGTCCGAGACCATTATGCAGACACCAACTGCCAATGCACACGAAAGTCAAAGCGTCGAACGTGCTAACACGCCTGTAATTTCGGCGATCGAATTACTTTCGATGAATACGCTCATCTCTGAAACCGCTGAATTTCATGTGGTCACCAAGAAGAAGAAGCCAAAGAAGCAACGCGCTTCCATTGATGAAACACATTTTGCTCACAATAGTTACAACAGCAACTCCGTTATAACGGGTGGCTTCTCGCGTGGTACGCACAGTGCGCCAGCTTATGCCCAGAAGGGCGGCAGTAATAATAATAATTACACCAACAACAATAATAATAATAATAATGTATTGCAACAACAGCAACAGCAACAACAATCACGTTATAATAAATATCATAATAACAATGCGCATGGCTTCAACTCGTACGGAAATGGCGGCGAGGATGGTCGCCTTGATTACCGCAACAATTATAATTCTAATTACAACAATTACAATAGCAACCATACACACCAAAACCAGCAATATGGCTATCAACAACAGCAGCAAGGTCAATACCACCACCATCAACATCATTTGCAACACCAACAGCATCAGCAACAGAGCCACCCTGTCGCCAATGCTCATAACACGAGCGGTGGCGCGTCATCAGATAAGTCGCGTCGAAAGTCAACTTCCTCAGTGCCACCATCGGAGAAATCCGACTCAAGTGATCTCGATTCGGTGCATTCCCTGCCCATAGAATCAACCGCAGCTTCGGTGACTAAAAGTAAGCCGCGTCATAAGACACCTGTCACGTCTACCACCACCAGCGCTACAGCCTCGCCAGAAACACCAAAGAGCGTGAGTAGTGGCGGTTCACCAGGGTCTGCGCCCATTTCATATGCACACATCGCAGCCTCAGCTGCCGCCGAACGTTGGCCAAGCTTGGACGCGGCTAATAACAACAGCACCAATGCAGCGATAAATGGTACCATCAATGCTGCCGAACAGCCACAACAACAACATATGACAAATATTGAAGCTGCTGTCTCACCGCCAGTCTCGACTCAATCGAACTCAAATAACAACTCGCCCACTGCAGTAGCTGTTACTGCTGCTGCGACACCAAATTCAGCAAGCAAACAAAGTAAGAGCAAGAAGGCCGCCACCAAGACAGACTTCCCCGAGTTGATTGCTACCAGCACCAGCACCACCACCACCACAGTTGTGGGCGTGCCATCAGTAGATCTCGCCAAAGCCAACGCAACGCCTTCAGCGGCAACCGCCGTGACTAGCGCGGCAAAAACTATTTCTTATTCACAAAGCCTAGCTGCCACAACCGCACATCAAATTCCAGTGGCCAATTCTAATAACGGCGTAATCAATGAGAAACTATCCGGTCCTAGTGCAGCGGAAGCGGTCGTTATACCTGTTAATGCACAACCTGCAGGCAATTACACCGTCCCAGATGTCAATAAAGTCGATACCATGAGCGGTAGCACAGCGCGTGTGCCCCAACATCAACCACCAATGCAGCAACAGCAACTACAACAACAAACACTACAAAAGTCAAAAAGTGTCGAACATGAAAGTTACAATTACAACAGCAGCAACCTTGATCAGCAATATCCTGCGCTGGAGCAGACAGTGAAGCGGCACAGCGCCACAAATGTATCGATCTCGCCGCCCACAGGAATCGCGACAGGTATCAACAGTACTCTTATCTCTGGCTCCTCTCTAACGGCTAATGCCCCGTTGCCAGCCACTAATGCTGCAAGTTCCAACAAATTCAATTTTGCAGCGGCTGCAAAACAGCAAGTGAGTAAAAACGTTGCTGGGTCTCCTCAAGGAATTATCACGCAGGAACCTCTTGTACCCGCGCAAGCGTTACATCAACCACAATTTAACGCCTCAACTACCTCAGGCACACCAGCGGTACCTGCACCCGCATCTAACGCCGGCGCAGTTCCAACTGCCGCCGGGCAAATCACGATGCCTGCGCGTAAGTCAAAGGAAAAGTCCCCAACAGCTGTTTACGCACCAGCGCCAGTAGCAGTAGCCAACAATACCTCCGCACAGATCGCCATCGGGAATGTGGCGCCGCAGACCTCTGAAGCCGGCAATGTCGTGAAAAAGAACAAGAAAGAAAAGACATACTTACCGTTAGCACCAGATACGCTACCGCTTCTAACAGCTGTGGTTGAGCCACATACTGTACACGTTGCGCAAAAATCGAGCACGGCCACTCAGACACAAGCGACCTCTATGGATTTGGCTGGCAGTGGCAGTGGTAGTGGTAAAAATACGCGCCCACAACCCACTTTGGTTGCGAAGAGTGAGGCGGTTATTCTACCACCAGCAACAGCAGCGAGCAAACCGCAAAGGCAACATGCCGGCAAGAATAACGCTGCGGCAAACGCTTCACAAACGGCAACCCACAATGCCTCCACAACTGGTGCTGCTACAGGTGGTACTGTGGGCGCCTCCAGTGGCATTGCGCCTATTACCAATCGTCCAGCTGTCATCATTCTGAACGACGATCGCAGTGGCGATAACAGTGCACTCGGTATTGAGTTCACTTTCGGCGACTTTAACGAGGACGAACTAAAATTCTTCGACGACAACATCGCCGAGGAGGAATGTGCGGAAGATTTCAACGCCGAAGTCGTTGAACCGACACCAGAGCAACAGTCGCTACAAGGAAAAGCGACTGTTGAGCTCATAGGGAGCGCGGATATTTCGACCAACACGACACTGCGGGCCAGTAAAGTCGAGGTGCCCGAAGAAATGCTAAACGAACAAAAGGTGAAACCTTCATTTGTGGACGTCAGAGCAACATCGCCAAAACCAGCGCCGTTTAACCAAGCACCTGTGACCGGCATTGCTGTTGCACGTAAGGAAGGTAGTAATAAAATTAAAAATATATTCGCCACAGAAAACGTCAACACTAGACCAGCTGACAAAGTCTACGCTCTACTCACTAGTCAAATAAGTAGCGATAGTAATAAGGAGGGTGGCTACGCCGCAACTGTGACAGTACAACCCGACGTTGAGCAGTCACAGCAGCACGAATTGCCACGACGCAACAGCGAGACACTGCAATTGCAACAATTGGAAACCTGCAATGACATTGAGACCGTTATTATAGCTGCGGCGCGCAGAGCTGCCGAGCAACAGCAACAGCTTCCTCAGCCCATGCAGCCACCGCCGTCACAACATCAACGTTCGTATCGCCATAAACATCAACAACAACAATATAGAAGTACATCCTACGGCAATGCCTACGAGCAGGCCCCACAACCGCAGCGCGAACAACGCTCTCAGTCGGCGTACAATCGTGATGCGCCAAATCACTATCAGTCGCATCATTATCACAATCAATACCATCAACAAACACAACAACAACAGCAGCAACACTATCACTATCATCAAAGTGGCAGTAGTAACAGTGGTGCTTCGCGCAGTCGCAGCAGTAGTAGCAACAACAACACCAATTCATATGATGCCTCATCTAACACGCCGCCACCACAATCACCAATTCCCTCATCAGCCGTCATGGTGAATATGCAACGTAAAGAATTGGACATACATTTCATACCGCCAGTCGTTTCGAATGCCTACAGCGCAATGCAGCACAATGAGATTATCGTGGACTTCATTGGCTCCGGTAAGTTCAAATTTTGCCAGTATTATTCACATTTTCGACAGTAAAACATACTGAGTGTGAAAAATTAGAGCATTTCTTGTCAAGTCTATGCAAATATGATACCACTGACCGTTCAAAAATGCGATTTGCAACAAAATTGTTTCTTATTTGAGTATGTAATTATCATTATTATGTTTCCTGGTTCTTACTGTTATTATTATTTTAATTATGTAATTTTCAATTGACTAAAACCTTTTCTTAATTTTTTAAAGCTTGGGAAGAAGTTTCAAAAGTGACGAAATTTTACGAAGGACAATAAAAATGCCGCTACGTTAGCAGCAACACGAAATTGAAGAGTAGCAGCAACAATTATATACCGCCAACACGCAGAATACAAGCTACAACAAAGTTTTAATGGAGACACAGAAAAAAACTGCCAAGCAAAACAAAAAATATTGTAAAGTTAAGCAAGCACACACCACAAAAGACAAAAGACTGTCACAGCGTTTCTGCACAAGCGCGGAGTACTAGACGCGACAGTCAACCTATCAAATGCAGCGGCGTTTATTGACCGTTACGCTGTGCCAGTAGTTTATGCATTTGACTGTGTGTGCTTGCGTAGTTGATTTATGAGTCCTTTTTGTTTGCTAAACGGTGTGTTAAATTAAACTCCAGCGAAGTTGCGCAAACACGCGACGTTACAAAGGTGGTGCTTTGTCAAAAATAGAAGAAAAAAAAAAAATTGAAGAATGAATGGTCTTGCACGAATAGGTTCTTTTTTTTTTAAGTATGTAATTAATAAGTGTTTAATTATGCTATAGTAATAATAACAATAATAATATAAAAAAGGAACTGCGAAAACCGTAAATGCGGTACGAAAAAAAAAAAATAAATAATATTACGATATATGAAAAAGGATAACGTAGATAACTACATAAATATATCTATATCTATATATGTATATGGAATGAAAACAGCATCAACTAAAAAATAATTTACATAAGTATATATATATATATATGTATGCTTATTTCGCTCAGCTCTGTGCAGCGCTTCTAAGTCCTTTTCGCGTCATCTACTCAACAGTAACAACAAAAAACATTAACGTTGCGAAACTCTTGCAACTACAATAAGTACTGTTTTTAAGTTAATTAGAAGTTAGTGAAAACTAAAAAAAAAAAAGAAAATACATATATATATTTTTTTTATAACAAATACGAAATACATTTGTAGGTAGGGAGAGAGAAATGAATGTAAATAAACGTTTATAGTACACACTATTGAGAAAAACCGCAAAAGTTAAAGCAAACAAAAAATTGCCGTTAAATTTGAATTGTTTCCAATTAATCAGAAAGTGCTTACGAAAAATGAAAAACGAGATATTTATGTATTTAAATACAAGTACACGCAGAAACACGCTTATACACCAAAAATACTAACAGAAAATTTTATTTGTAAAAACCAAAAAAAAAAAAAAAAAAGCGGCTATGCACAAACAACTATCAGGCGTGTTGGTACCAGGCGTCATATAATGTGTATGGAAAAGAAGAAGAAACTATGTATGCTAATAAACCTGGCTGTATGTTACATACATATGCATGTGACATTTGTACTAACACCGAATGAAATGTCTGGCTTTAAGTTGGTGAATTGGCCTGCTCCTTGGATTTACTACTCTCCCCCCATAAGAGTTTGCAAGCAAAAGAAGCTGTATATATAATATACTATATTTGTAGTTATATAAATACACGACATTTATATGTATATACTATATGTAACATAATTATGCTATTATAAATGTATTTTTACTAATAATCTATGATTCAATTTGTATAAGCTCCGCTGCTACCGCTGCTAAGGCAAAAGCGTCTAATTTGGACTGTTGAAAGATGGAGAAAAGCTGGTACAACAAAAAAGTGATGGCAAGTTTTAACGCAGCTAAAACAAAAAGTTTCACCAAGGCTATGCCACAAAGTCACACAGTCATTAAGCCTTTAACTTGTAGACTAATAAGCGGTAGCGTAGGCAAAAAATAAAAAAAAGTAAACTTATAAGTAGCATATAGCAAAGCAACTGGACTGGTTAAATAATGCATAAATACGAGAAAAGCAACACAACCATTTAAAACACACATTGTGGCACAACATTCACCTGCACATACACACAAGCCACTCATATTCATAGGAAAAAAAATAATAATAATAAAATAAATATTAAAAAAAAAAAATAAAAGCTGCAATGAAGTCACGCGATATTAAAACTTATTTAACACTAATAAAAATGCTACTGAAAACAACAAAAAAAAAAACAAAATCTAAAAAAAAATTAGTAATGAACTAAAAACTCCTTCTATGTATATACTTTGTAAGTATTTTAAGGTTATTTATAATTGAAAACTAAAACAAAAAGTTTAGCAGTAATTAATAGCTACATATATACTGTAAACAATAAAAAAAAACACACACACACATACTAATGCTGTTGCATGTTGAATTATGAAAGTCTAAAAAAAAAAATTAGTTGAAACCGATGAAGAGGAAGAAACAAATCAAAAGCGTTAATAAAACTGTATGAAACTAATTTATAACGCGATATGTATTAATAAACAATTAATAATAAACAAATCAAATTCGATTTTTTGTTCTTTTTGCTAACATTTAATTTGATTAATGAGAATTTTAAAATTAATTTAATTTTTATTTCATTTTATTTTATTTTTTTTTTTATTTTATTTATTTTTTTTTTTGTTTTGGTAAAAATAGTGATTGCATTTTTCGTAAGCTAACGAAAAAACGGCAATTATACCACCCAACCTTTGATAATTGGTTTCAGAAAGAGAGAGTTTTTAAAATACAAAATATCGTGTGCTTTTTATTAACGTCAACATAGAGAATTTTAGTACCCTTTAAAAAACATTTGCAATGAGAAAGCACTTGGTATAAGTACAGTTTTTTTCACTTTTAATATTTTATTGTAATTTCTCCATTTTAGGTACTTCTTTTTTTTCCTCAAATTCCAATGTAACTCCCCCATTTTTGGTATTTAGTCTTTAAATTCCATTGAAATTTTTTTACATTACAACACTTATAATTTTGGTAAAAAAATAAGATTTTCAAATTGTGCAAATTGAAACATTTATAGCAACCTCTCAAAGGGCGAAAAATACAATTACTATTTTCTACATTTATAAAAATAGTATTGATTGATTTCAAAGTCAATTTTATTTTCCAATCCTATTTTGTATGTATGCAGTTGAATGGTAATGTTTACCTTTTTTCTTTTTTTTTTTGCTGAATTTTATAAATACAAAATTATGATTACAAAAAGTTACAACTGAATTGAATGGACTTTGCAAAGAAATTTTAATAAAAAAAATATATATAAACAAACAAATTATGATTATTAACTGTTTTATTTTTTCTCAATATGAAACTCTTAGCTTCAAAAAATTAAGCAAACATATTAATCAAAATATATATAAAAAAATCTGTAAAGGTGATTGAAAAATGATCTTAAATTAAAAAAAAAAATATATATAAAAAACTAATTACAAAACATAAAAAAAAGAAAAATATTTATTAATGCTTTTGTGTTGATACATTGCATTTCATAATTTTTTTAATTTTTATAATTTTTCGCTTTTCCATTTCCATATTCTTTTATTTCTGTCTTAAAAATTTTGAATTATTATTATGTAGTTGATTTATTATTTTTTGATTAATTTCAAAGCATACAAGCGAAACAAAAGCATTTGTTAGTTTTTTTTTTAAAGAAGCGCAAAATAACTGAATATTCCAAATTTTTACGAAAAAAAAAAATATAAATATTTCTTCCAACTTGTACATACCGATATATAAAAATATTTATGTATATAATTGTGAAAGAGAAAAAGAATATATAGTAAATATTTAAATACAATCTAAATATGTAATAATACTTATGTGTATGTATACAAAAACTTACATATGTGTGTCCATACAAAGTACACTTAAAAGAGACTTAAATAAGAAAGCTTGGCGACAGCAAGCAAATATTTCATTGCTAAAAAAGCTATAAAAATAAAATAACAATAATAAAAACAAAAGCAAAAATAACATGTATAAAAATATAGCAATTAAGTTTGCAATGCTAATATTAGTTAGATAGCATTTGAAAAGAGAAAACTAAAATTACGCCTAAGACAGTGTAATTAATGCAATTAATGTATGTATGTCTGTATGTAGTTATGCACAAGGAATATAACAAAATTCAAAAAAAAAAAAATGTTCGCAAACTTCATGAAAATATATTATATATTAAAACTAGTTTCGCGTATACAACGTTCTTTGCTTGCGGCGGCAAAGAGAGAGTAAGCAAGACATGAATTTTGAAAAAATTGAAAATTGAAAATAGAAAATAAAAAACCTTTATTTATGAAAAAATCTCTAAAATTAAAAAAAAGAATACTCTTGAAACAACATAAATACAAAAACAAATTCTATAAAAAAAAATTCTAAACAAATATTCTATATATAAAATAATAAAAAAAAACAACAAGTTAAAGCAAAATAAAATTATTAAAATAATTACAAAGATAGTACACAATTTTTCTACTGTATAATTAGCGAGTAAAGCAAGAAGTAAAAATTTAAATTTTGACAAAAGAACAAGTAAATAAATTCGACAAAAAAAAAAATAGTAAAAGAAAATAAACATATTTTCAATAATAATTTTTGCTTGAAGATTAAAGGTTTTCTAATTAAACAAATGGCTACTGCATTAAAACATTCTAGGTGTTGTTTTGTTGTTTTCAAACCTCTTAAGCAAAAACTAAAAACTAAACTATAAATTCTATACTGATATGAAAACGGAATTATCAAAGTAATTGAAAAAAATTAATGTAATTAAAAAAATATCCCAAAAAAATAAAAAAAAAATAAAAATAAAAAAAAAATTAAATTAAAAAATAAAAAATAATATATAAAAAAATTAAAAATATAGTATTCTTATAAAAAGAAAACATCCAACTTTGTGTATACAAATTTTGTTTCATTAAATATATGCTAACCGCTTAACTTAAAAAAGTATATATGTATATATAAAACTAAAATAACTAATCACATAGAAACTTTGTAAAAAATAAAACTCTTTAGGCATTTTTTAACAAATAAATAATAAAAGTAGCTAAAAAAAATGTGAATAAAACCAATATAATACATTGAAAATCACTTAAATAGGGGGCAACAAAGTTCAAGAAAAATCTAGAAAATTTTAAAATATTTATGAAAATATATATGTTTTTTTTTTTTAATTCTTTTGTTAAACACGTGCATGTTTTTAACAACAACAAAAATTTACCTAATGATTAGTAAAAACCGATGCATAAAATAATAATTTAAAATATATTTTTGAGTAATGTTAAATATTTAAAATATCAACACACGATTTTTTTTTTTGCTTAAAATTTGATATCAGAAAAATAATTTCATTTTTGATTAAGAAATTCATATTTTTGAGCTGAATTATTTTTTTTTTTTACATTTCATTGTTTTTAGCGAAACTTTTTGCCATTATTTGTTGTTTCAATTTCCCTAAAAGGTGCATATCATTTATTTTATTAAGTACATACATATTTGTAGCCTAAAATATGCATATAACAAACAAATTTCAATAAAAAAAAAACGTAAATGAAACAAGAAAAAAAATCAATTACTCAGGGTAATTTAGTTAATGAATAAAGAAAATTATTTAAATATAAAATACAATAATTGCTGTAGAATTTTTCAAGAAATCGACGCACACAAATAATTTAAATCAACTTTCAATTAGTATATCAAATTTTTTCATAACTTATTATTTTATTTAGCAAACTAAAATTCTGTAGTTAAATTTTAAAGTTTTGATTTTCAAAAAATCTTCTTTTTGTTTGTATGAATTCCAAAAAAATATTTTCAAATAAATCAAAATGTCTATATACAATAAAATTTCAACTAGTTTGAAATTGTTCCTTGCAAAAAAAATATATATACAATATATAAACTAAATAAGCAAATAAATTAAATAGTTAATAAATGAAATGCATAAATAACATACAATAAATAGTTATAAAACACACACATACACACACTCCATCCATACAACACGCCTGAGTCTGAGTGTACTTGAGTTGTATAGTAATTAATATATCTATGTAAAAGCGTAAATATCTATAGAACGTAGGTTTAATATTTAAAAAAAATATATATATAAATAATTGCGCAATGATACTTTTGTCAGCTGAAAAAAACATTTAATTTACCGTTATGATTAGTTTTGAAAACAAATTTTATAGCGTACACTGAGCTTACTTTTAATATATATATGTATATATTTTTTTTTTGTTAGTTTTATTATTATTTTTCTTAATTTTATTTTTTATAATTTTTATTTTCTAAAAAAAACCATGTTAGCATCTTTTGAGGTGAAATAAAAAAATAATAGTTAAATCAATTAAAGGTTTGAGAGCATTAGGCAAGTTTTTGTGGATTTTTTTAATTTTTTGGTATTTAATCAAAATATGTTTTAATTTATTGATTTTCAATATATTACCTCTTTTAATTATTTCACTTTTAATATTAAAAATTTTTTTTTTTCGAATTTTAATATTTTTTTCTTGAAATTTTTATTTGTAATTTACGTTTTCATTTTTATTCGATTTTCAATACATATGTATTTGTTGATTTTTCGACTTTTAATAATTTTTTTTTTTGGTTTGTTCGATCTTTAACATGTTTTAATAATTTGTTTATTCTTATTCCATTCCACACTCTCGTTTTTCGAATACCAATTTATTAATTTTTATTTTTTGCTTCTAAATACATAAATTATTTTAATTTTTCGAGTTTTAATTTAAATACATATATATCTGTCTTCGTTTTTTATTTTATTTATTTTTTGAATTTGGTTTTTTTATGTTTTTTGAATGTTGTTTTTGTTTTCATTTATTTGTTTGAATTAATTTTTTTTATTTATTTTTTTGATATTCCTTTTGTTTTTGTTTTTTTTTTTTTTTTTAATTTACTTTTTATAATTTTTTGTTTAGAACTTATCGATTTTCAGTAATTTTTAATGTCTTTTGTTTTTCTATATATGTCTGTATTTTTTAAATTTTCGATTTACAATCTATATTTTTTTTTTAATTTTGCATTTTCAACTTTTATTATTTTTAAATTTTTAATTTTTATTATTTTTAAATTTTTGATATTTTTTTTTACTTTTTGGATTTTCATTAATTTTTTTAGTATTTATTTTAATTTTTTTCATTTTTGATATATGTATATTTTTAATTTATATAATATATATATATATGTATATATTTTTTTGGATTTTTAGCTGCTTATTAAATTTTTAACTTAAATTTTTTTTTACTTTTCAATTTTTATTACTTTTGAATTTTTGATATTTTTTTTCTTTTTGGATTTTCATTAATATTTTTTTTAATATTTATTTTAATTTTTCAATTTTTGATATATATGTATATTTTTGATATATATACATATGTATATATCTTTTTGGATTTTTAGTTGTTAGTTAAACTTTGAACTTAAAATTTTGCTTCAAAATTCAATTTGTTTTTTTTTTTTAAATCTTTAAAAGTTTGTAAATTAATTATTTAGCCAAAATTTTTCTTTTATTTTGTAAATACATATGTATGTATGTATTTTCTCCAATCAAAGCTCAGTATACTCTGGTATTGTCTCTACATAAAAATAATTAATTAATGCATTTTTGAACAACAACAAAATCGCCTAAGAACAGGAATATTGGGCAACAAAAAATATATCAAAAGGCATGAGTGATGTTAAAGATTTTTTTTTAAATAAATAAAAATAATTACATAAATATGTATGTATGTAACAAATATACTTTTCAATAATAAATATAAACATTTCATAATGTTACGCTGACTTCAACCAAATTTATTAATAATTATTAAAACATTAATTATATATTATACATAAATAACAAAAACACTTACATACATAAATATACAATATAAACAGAATAATAATAACTATAATTATGTAATAGCCTAAATTCATATGTACCATTTGCATAATACAAAATAAGGGGTTAATTATATTTTTTGCTAGCGCTAAGCGTTCGTTGTATTGAGCTAGCGGCAAGGCGCAGAGTTTTACGGTATTTCAACAAGTTTCAACATGCCAGCCAACGCTTAAAATAATCGCAAGTAAAAATTTTTGATTTTCAAAAACTTTTTCTCGTCGTGAAAAAAGTGGAGAACCAGAATGAAGGTGTAAGAGAAAAACAAGTAAGTTCCAATATTGTACAGCAGTGCCTTTGTGCCTAAGCTGCTTCCACTAGACATGTGTTGGTTTTTGTTTCACGACCAAAAAAAAAAAAAAAAAAACTATATATACCATAAAAATGCTGTAAGATATACATAAAAACATAAATTCATACATACATATATAGAATAATGTAAAATTATATTCAAATGAAATGTGAAAAAAGCTAAAAAAAAAAATATTGTTTTTTTATTTAAGTTAATATCAACGCTTGAAACATACATTTACACACATACATATATATATTTCAATAATGTGATTAAAAGCTTGAACTTGCAAGCGCAAACAACGCAGTTAGTCCAGAAAAAAGTTACGCGATAGAGCAGTAAAACACACTTGTAAAGTAGAGTTAAAAAATATTAAACAAAGCAAATATTTTAATTTAACTGTAAAGTGTAACGGAATAATAAAATTAAAAAAAAAAAAACAAAAAATGCTAGGGAAATATTGTAAACTTAAAACTTAACGAGCAACAGAATACAGCAAAAATCAACATACATACATACATACCTAAAAGCATACACACATAAATATATATGAAAAAGAAAATGAAACACCCAAAAAAAAAAAACAACACACGCTTGATATATAAATAGCTAATTTATGATATATAAATATATATAAAATATTTAGTCATATGTAAGGCAAACTAAGCTGCTTTTCGCATATGTATGTAATTTTCTCCTTAATTTTTGGACATTTTAATTAAATTATAAAAAAAATATTTCTGAAAATTATAGAATACGGTATGCGTTAAGCTATAAAAAAATATCCATTTAATAAAATGATACTTATTATAGATATTAACGAGACATACATACGCATGTATGTATATGCATTATTTCGATATAAAAAAAATTAAAAAATATATATATTTAAAAAAAGAATATATATAACTAATAAAAAATTTCAAAAAAAAGATGTATGCATTAAAAAAATTAAAAAAAATTAAATTAAAACTTACTGTGAATCAAAAAGTTAAATAATACATAATACTAAAAAAAAAATTAATTTTGGAGAAATAAATCAATAAACACAAAAAAAAATTAAAGAAGTAGAAAGCAAACAAAAAAAATAATAATAATTTACAATATTTAAAAGAATTGTAACTGAATTGCAAGAAAACGAGAAAACCAACAAAAACAAAAAAAAAAACAACAAAATCAACAAAAAAAAAACATGAACCGCAAACTAAAAGCTCTAGAGTTTAATTCTTTATCGATGTGAATTTCTCTAAGTATGCATGTTTGTATGTATGTACAATTGTGCGAATGTAAAATATAATATGTATCTGTATATGTATGCCTGTGTGAGTGGATTGCATGAATGTGTATGCACATTTAGGTATGAGTGTTATTAAGCGCTAAGCATTAATTACTATTGTATTTAATTGATTAATTAATGAATAAAAAAAAAGAAAAAACAAAAAAAAATCTTTTCAATTCTTTCCAGTTTTTTAATGAAAGCTGCAACATTAAAAGTGTGCTTCGCAATAAAAAAAACTAAATTGAAAAATTAAAAAAAATGTTTTTCAATAGTTAAAAAAGTTGTTGAAATTATAATTTTTTTTTTGTGTTTTACATGAAATACTCAGTTTATAATTTTTATTAATTTTTTATATATTTTTTATGTTAAGCAAGTAAGGATAAATATGTATACGGCTGCATTTTATTCATGTTAGAAGGAAATCGATCAGAATTGGGCTGCAGGTAGTGACGGAACTTCTTATATAAGGTGTTAGCGGTAGTCAGAATTTGCAAAAAATCGATTTACTTTATTTTTACATTTTGTAAAAGTTGAATTGTTTAAAGCCTTATAAAATTAATAAAAAAAAATAAGTAAAAAAAATTTACGGCACTTAACCCAAGAACCGACGATTTTATATGAAAATATAAAAAAAATATACCCGAACCACTCGATTTAAAGAACTGCCCTAATGTCGATGATAAACGTTTGGAATTTTCTAAAAATGAATTGGTTTCCGGGAAATATCGATTGGCTTACAAGTACTTGGCCGTATAAAATTTCGGGTGCTTCCGCCCTACTGTTGCGGGAAATATTGGATTTAAGTCCTGTCTTAAGACAGCCATTCCTTAAAGCAGGTAAATTCTTGAATTCTTAAGCCGTAGTGCTTTTTAAACACGTTTTTCTTAAAAAGATGTTTTCATAGTCTTTGATCTCTATTTCTAAGAAATGACTCAAGCGGGTCCTTTTTTTTTAGTTATGATTAAAACAAAAACCGATTCCTTTGCCGAATTCCTTACACGAGGTGTGTGTCTCGTAACTCTGTGTAAAAATTCAACAAGATCGATTGAGTAGTTTTCGAGAACTTTTCGAGAAGTAACTTTGAAATAACAGCTTCGAGAGAAACGCGTTTAAAGTGCTGAGTCTACCTGCTATCTCAAGGTTTCCTCCTCGAAACTATTATTCGGTTCGAGTTGAATATTTAAATTAATATTGCCGAGATCTTGTTACCAATAAATTGCTGGAGCTACAGTTAATTTTAATACGTCTTCTAACGGCCGATGGATTTCTATTAGCAGCTTTTATTTCATGTCAGAAATACAGTCGGACCGCTTGACATTCCCTACCGAGGGACGACGGCAATTAGTAAAATTAATTTTCTATAATTTTTATATGTTGGTCTAACCACTCGGCTCTGACGGCCGCAAACAAAATTGATTATTTGAAGCTGTGAAGCATATGTAGTCCTATAGGGCTTTCAATAGAAAATATCAAACGATTTAGAAGACGCTTGAAAGACCGATTAAAAAAAAAAAGAAAAGAAAACTTTTTGTATTTCAACTAGCTTCAATTTATTGAAGGCCTTTTTTCGAAAATATTAGTATACATATTTCGAAATTTTGTTTTTGTTTGCAAATAATGCCAGTTTATTATAAATATTTAAAATTTATGCATAACAAAAAAATCTGGGCCATCAAAATGTGGATGCATTGAGTGATATTATTAAATACATACATATTTACAAATATTTAATGGAGTAAATTGTAAGATAAAAGCACGCGATATATATATATATATATATAAATATATGCAAACAAAAAATATATATGTGTAAGTTAAGTGAAGTGTGCTGAGAATTATATATGTATGTATGTAGGGTATAATAAAAATAATAAAATATATAGTATTTAGTACTAAATAAGTGTACTACTAATCTAAAGGTATAATATATTGTTAATTAATGGATTTATGAATTTCAAAAAAAAAAGGAAAAATAATTAAATGAAAAGAGGAATAATAATGCATTTTTTATAACTCTAAACTTAATTACATTCAACTTACCCACGATTGTGCTACGATTTCAAGGAAATCAAGCGTACATTTTTTCTATTTAATTCAATTATTTTATTTTTTATGCGAAACTTATGCGCGCACCCGCCATCTTGTATTCTTTAACAGTGTATTTTTGGTTTTGTTTTTTTTTCTCTTCATTTTTATCTTTCTTGATTGTGGTCAAATTCTCTATATTGAAAATGCATAAACCTTAATATTTATATTATTACAAACAAACACAAATCAAAATTACTAGCAAAATATGGTATGTACACGACCAACCATCCTGACGGATGTCCAACCAACTTGACTTATAACATATGTATTTATTTGTGTTGTTGTATATTTTAGCATTCAATTGCTAGGAAATAAAACTCAATTAAGTTCTACAAATAAAAATTAGTTCTTCTTTTATTTACTTACTCCACCATACCTTCAAATCGCTTGCAGCGCTGCGTTAAGTTCGAACTCGTAGCTTAAAATAATAATTTTTTTTTGTACAAATAACTTAATAATTAAAAAAGGAAAGATGTACTACATGATTTGCGCGCGTAACGCCACATGACTGGGTATTTCGATATTATTGACGCGCAACAGCTGTACTAGATTGCGCAGAAACTCTTGCGAAATCTTCAAATCATCATCGGCCTCCAGGCGTTCATACAAATCCAACGCCGCTTGATAGTTATTCGATTTGGCGAAGTGCGTCAGCAACATATTGTAGATATTTTGCTCGTTAATAACGCGTCCGAAACCGCGCGCGCCCCGCGCCAAGCGCAGCAAAGTGCTAACAGCGCCTTCTTCGCCCAAATGTTCACAATTTTTCAATAGCAAAGCCTCGTTGATTCGAAACTCCGGATTGATGAGTAGCCGACGCAGTTGATTGTCTGTGCCTGAGGCGGCAAATGCCAGCAGCAGGCCGCTGTTCATATTCAGTGAGCCATGCACTCTGGATACGGTGCTCGTCACTTCACTCAGCAACTCTTGTGCTTCGTCGCCGCTTATGTTGCCATATCGCGTCACATCCTGTTCGTGACCGTTACCTAGCCGCACTAGCAGTGAGAGTAATTCAAATTGTAGCGGTGTATGTTTGTATTGCTGTGCGAGTTGGCAAAAATCAGCAACAGCGCCTTTAATATCACCGCGCAGCAGACGTTCTCGTACGATGGGGCCCAAAACGGAGTTGTGCGCGTTGCAGTAGCGCAACTTTTGTAAAAAGTGAAAGTTTTCACGCGTCAAATTGCGTTCCGGCTCCAACGCGGGCATTTCCGCCGCCAATTGGGCGACATTCGTAAGGAAATTCCAAACGTTTTTAATAACATAATCACCGCCGTTTATGCGTTTTACACTGGCGCGTGCCTGCAGCAACTCTTTAGCGGTGTCCAGTTGCTTATTGTGCACCAGAAGTGCAGCGTAGTCAATGAACTTGTGCTCGTCTAGGGAAAAGTCTGCAAAAAAGAAAGAGAAAGGAAATAGGGGTTTCTAGTGTTATAATTTTCACAGAAAATGAGTTTATCCTAAATAAATTGGTCAGATGCAGTGTTTTGGGCAAACAAAATTAATCTGCGCTTCACAGATCTTCTTTTTAGCAACACTATTCTGTATGTACGGCAGCTGTGCGTACTTCAGCCTTGGATTCGACGGCATTCTAAGCTCGCTTACCTGGAAATTCTTGCTGCAGCCGCTTCAAACTCCTCTCGGCGTTAGGCAAATCTTTCACTTTAATGTAAAGATCCAGCGTACTGGCCAACATGCCGGCACTCACTTGCACTTGCAGCTTATCACACTTCTCTTTGATCTCTAAAGCACGCTCCAAACGCCCGTCACGCACACAAAGCTGCAGTAGGCGGCGCAGTAAGCCCCGCGTATTCATACCCTTCGATTCCAACTCAACTAGGTGGCACTCCAACTCCTCCAATGACATGTCCCGTGGATGCTTCACAAATGAAGAACTGCCGTTGTCAGCAGCCGATGGCGTAGCACTTTGTATGAGCACTACATTGTGATCGGTGATTTTGTGTAAAGAATCTTTGAGTTTAGACAAATTCAACTCTTTTCCAATTTGCTCTTCCAGCACAGTGATTATAGAGTTGGCCGCTGCGGGTGATATGACTAAGCCGAATTTTACAAACTCATCTACAAAGCGTTGTATGGCTCTCAGATCGCTGCGTAAACGTATCTGGCTCTGTACCATATTCAGCAGCAATTGGCCAACCCAATCCAATTTACGATTTTCACACTTTTTCGCCAAAGCTGCTAAAAGTTTGCCAAACTGTTGATAACGCTTGGTGGCGCGCACATTCACCGACGCATTGGCTAGTATCTGCACCAGTTGTTCAACGGCCATTTTAGTTGGGTACAACTCGAGCAAATCATGAGCAGCATCGAATCTCTGACGCAACAGTAAATACGTGACTATTTCAATTAGCGTTAAGGAGGGTTTCACTCCCACGTTATCTAAAGCTTTTACTGCTTTTACAGGATCTTGAAGTGTTATTGGCAGATTTGGAAGTACGTAAAGCGCAATGGTTTCACGATCACAGCTAACATTTAGGCTGCTCATTTCTTTTAGTACATTCAGCATACCTGCTTCGCCGGATTGCTGATGGGATTGCAATAATAGTGGCCAAAAGTAGTGTGGTCGTAATGGTTCTTGTTCAGATAATTTTTCCAGATATGGTAGCGCCGACTCTGCACTGCGTCGCAATGCAATTTCAGTCACTATGTGTAGAGCACGCGTATTCTTTTTACTCTCCACCAGCAGCTTTGCAACATCTATTATCTCCTCGGTGGAGTACTTTGTACGGAATAGTTCCTGTAGCAGAAAAACGCCAAAAGTGTCGATGCTTTGGTTCTCATTGAATCTCGGTGTAGGCAAAGCGTTTATGATGGTAAGCGCCGAGGAGAGATTACTAAAAAAATACTAATTTTATTAAATGGTTAAAATAAAGGAATTGTGTACCAATATTACGTGTTGTGCAGCAACTCGATGCAGACATGCCTCAATGGTATGGCCACTTCTATGTCCTCAGCAAAATCTTTCGGCAATTCACGCACCAACATCTTAATGAACTCCTCTTCAGGTTGTTTTGCAACATATAGGAGACTCCGTAGCATGCTCACTACTTGAACGGCATTAAACTGGCCACGAAATTGTTGCAGGATTTCTATCGCTTTTTGGGCAGTATCATTTTCCAAATAAGCACATACCAGTACTGACTGTGTTTCCGCACTGGGTTGTATGCCGGCTGCTACCATATTATCAAGCACAGCGCGGCAACCCGCTATATCATGATTTCGAGAGTTTCCCTGCAGTAGCGCGTTGAAGTGGCGTTCTGTCAGCGGTAAGTCATGTGTGCGCATTTCCGCAAGTAACGCAGTTGTTTGTTGCATATCACCAGCACTGCAGGCAGTTTCCAATAGCTGTGCATAGATATCTGGCAACGTAAATACATTTGACGTATTCAAACGTTTGAATTCGGTTAAAAAATTTTGAAAATCAGGAAGTGGTGCACGATTATGTTCAAGCACCTGTAACCAGGTGACATAATGTGCTGCACTCAAACGCTCATGCTGTGCCAAATATGCCCATAGACGTTTAAAGAGTGACAAACGTATGATAGTTGTACGCGCAGGCATTTGTGTACCGCAAGCGCGTAACAGGAAATGTGCCTGTTCGTTGCTGAGTAGCTCATTGTACATAACGGAGTTACTTTCCAATTGTTTGATTACTTTATCGCATAGTTCAAAATTTAGTTGCGCATTGCTTTGATGATGTGCCATTAACTTCTCTAGTAATACTGTGAGTACGGGCTTTTTAACAAATGCCGGCACGGGTGTAGCTTTTGTAGCATAGCCGTATTGTACACGGTTTTGCAGTATATTCCACTTATTGCATAGCATAGGTGTGGAGTTGCTCAGTGGGATTTGCTGCAGTGATCTCTCTGTTGATCCTGTTGCATAACATGCTTTTGGTGAAAACATTTGAAATAACTGACGCCGGCCATTGCCGCTAAAACGCTGCAATTTGCAAGTAACACTTAGTAGATGTGAACTCATTTTAACTAATGTTTATTGCAGATTGTGGAGAAAAAAATCACAGCACAATGTAAAATTGCTAATAAACGAACAGCAAACACGCGCTGTATTTCTGTTGTTTTATTATTTAGGTAGCGGCTGTCAAGAACAGCTGTGCGCTCCTTACAGCTGATAAGCGCAATGGGATGTGTTCAGTGGAGTACCTGCTGATAAACTTTATTTTATTGTGTATAATTAAAAACTATATCATTACATATGTATGTATGTATATTGCTAATTGTACGGACGTTTTACATTTGAGTCACATATTTAATAAATTTAAAAATAAAATAGTTTTAATGCCACCTGCAAGTGAAACAAAAATCCGGGCACTCTAATATTCGACCTTGCCAACAGCTGATACACAGATCATTGGACATCGGTTCATACAACATTCAGTACTGATAACAAATAAAATAAAGCATTGATAAATTATTTTATAAAAACAAGTTAAATTAATAATGTGTCGACTGCTGTTGGTTATTAGCTGCCTCGCCGCGATAATTTTAAGTACAGCAGCCTATGATACAACTACTTGCGATAAACTACAAGAAATTTTCAGTTTGAAGGAAAATCAGCTTACCAAGCACCAATGTCCAAAATCGATAGGTAAGCGAGCAAACACAATTTATCTACTCTACGACGTAAATCCACCAGAAGGTTTCAACTTGCGACGTGATGTCTATATACGCCTAGCCGTATTCATACGCCAACTAGCGCGTCGTAAACCATTTCAAAATGTAAGGCTAGTGCTACCGCCCTGGCGCCGGTTATTTCACTGGAAATCTAGTCATCTCCCCCAATATAGTCTGCCATGGTCGCAATTCTTCGATGTGGAAAGTATGCGTCGATATGCGCCTGTGCTGGATTTTTCCGAATTTTTGGATGATATCAGCAAATTCGGCCTGCTCGAGACGCCCTACATACAGGTGCAAAACGTTTTCAAACTATTCCATTTTCAAGATATGTTCGAACAAGGCGTGTTTCACGAAAAGTTCCAAATTATAAGCGAATGTCGTAAAGAAGAACACTTACACGATTTTTTGTTGCAACAACCAATGCTGTGGGAGAAGAACTTTACATGTTTGCGCTATCAGGGTAGCGTAAATCTACTTGGCGACCTATTGCGCCAACAGCTAAACCATGCCGCAATGCAGACGAATGATGTGAAAGTTTTTGCCATACTCAACGCCGAGGTAGTACTGCACGATCAGTGGGGCGATAGAGAATTCTGGCGCGCACGACGCTCCATGCGCTTCGCCGAGCCACTAGTCAAAATCGCAGAAGAGTATCGCATGCGTGAACTAAATTCAAACAAAGCGCTTGAGCGTGTACAACGTCCGCCAATTTGGGAGGAGGAGCGCCCTTTTCGTGCAGCGGTAGGTGGCAATTACCTGGCCGTACATATTCGACGCGGTGATTTTGCGCGTGGCAGACAAAACACCACGCCCACATTGAAATCGGCGGCAACGCAAATACGTGCGCGAATGGAACTATTAAATCTGACCACGGTATATATAGCCACCGACGCCAGCGGCATGGAATTGACCAATTTGAAAGCCTACTTGCAGCGTGTACGCATGCGCCGCTTCACGCCCGAATCGTTAGCACAAAAAGCGCTCATCTTAGATGGTGGCCAAGCGATTATTGATCAATTAATTTGTGCGCACGCGCGGCACTTCATAGGCACATTCGAGAGCACATTTACTTATCGTATATATGAGGAACGTGAAATACTGGGCTTTCTAAGGAAGACCACTTTCAATACGCTGTGCAAGAATGCATCTCGGGGTAATTGTGAATATAACTCAATATGGCCGATAGTTTACTGATGTCAAAGCTGAAGTGCTGATGGTGCAGCAATTCAAGAATTCCTTTTAACCTCAAAAGAAGGTAGTTCGATTTTAGTTAATGTAATGTGTATGTATGTATGGATATATGTAAGAAGAAGGTCTTCAAGCTACTTTTGAAAGATTTTCCCCTAAAACTGATTCAAATGTATGGAGCTGACGGGCTGCCGGGCTGCCGTTTCTTGACGTCATATGTAATTCTAGGAATTTTGTTGTAAAATAATTTAAGTTCACTCAATTTATGTATAATATATAAGGTAATTTTACAGGTGTACTCCTAAGAGGCTTTTTAATATTCATATTTTTTTAATTAATAAATAAAAAAAGAGTTTGTTTAAAAATTAAAGCTTTTTAATGGATATTCATTGTGAATGGCACATAGAGGACGATCGAGATTGTGATTAAAATAAACGAATTTTATTTTAAATCCCTCTTAAATTTGAAACTGAAATCTTTAGTGTAGTTGGTATACAAAATGACACCCTTTAAATTAAAGAATTAAATTTCCGCATTTTTCTTGAGGTAAACTTTATTATTCATATTGTTTCAATTTCAAAATGTTTTTGTTTTTAATAATATTTACTAGATTTTAATTTCTTTTATTACATTATAAACCTTGTATGTATGTATTTATTTATGTACTTGTGTAAGTATTGGAAATGCTACTCATCTACAATCATGAATTTTTGAATAATTAAAAATTTAAAACTCCTTTTATTTGAACAATATTTGTATTTATTTGTTTGTATGCATGTATGTATGTATTTCAAAAATGGTTAATATTTGCCATTATTTTAACTCGAATTTTATTTAAGTTTTAATTTTTAACAATTGTCATTTGACTCTAACTTTATTGATACCCGATTTCTTTTAAATATATTTAATAGTGTTAATTATTTTTTTAATATATTAATTTATGATTTTTATAACTTTATATTATGTTTTTTTATGTATATTTTTGTTCAAACTTCATATGCACTGTATAACAATTATGTACATAGTATGAATGTAATTTATCAGTAAACAACTATTACTAAAAATATATTAAAAAATCGATTACTGACGAACTTTCTTCAATAATTCTTGTTTATTAAATTTATTTTTATTTCTAAAATGTTTTCATTAACACCTTTCATTTTAACTTTTCTTTTCTTACAAACTTTTGTTGTTTTAGTAAATGTTAATATTCGCTATTATTAAAATGTAAGTACATATGTACATATGTATGTATTTTCTAACTTTTTCTTGCACTAGTTATAATTTATAACACTTTATTTTTATAAATATATAATGTAAAAGGCAAAAATTGCTTGCATTACGCTAACAAACGCTTACAAAAACAACTATTTTTACAATATTTTATTTTTCTTTATAAATATTTTATGTTAACGCCGCTTACGAAAAATGAGTGTAACAAGTCACAGCAAATTTATTTAATATTTTTTTTTAATTATTTTTTAAACGTGAACAATATTTGTTTAAATATTATCATTTTTTAAATGTTAAACTTTATTATAAATATTTTATTTCTTGATCTGTTCTATATTTCAATATATATTTAACAAAAAAAAATTAAACAAAAACTTTGTAAATAAATTCTACGAATTGTATGCTTAATTAATAATTTTCATGGAAGAACTATTTTATTAAAAGCAATATATATATAAAAAAAACATAATTTTTCATGTGTTAATATGTGTATAATGAAAATTTATGTTTTTTATTTCAACAAATCTTCTTCCATTCTTTAAAATAAGTTTTCAGCTATTAGGTTCATTAATATATTATATATTATACATGTATGTATAACAACAAATAAAAGCATATAATTTACAAAAATGAAAGCCTTGTTTAAAAGTGTGTTCTTTTCACGATTTTTACATTTTCAATAATTTATTTGGTGAAAAAGAATATGCTAAAGCTAATTAATAGTAGATAAAATCATCAACACTTTTTTTTAATTATGCAAAGCATAATTTAACATACTAACATGCATAATGCCAAGATTAACTTATGCTTACACAAATGTGGTTATACATTTTGCTTAGAGGAACACAAATTTATCTTAAGCCAATAAAAAGAATTTGAATTATATTTAGTTACGTTTCTATGTAATAGATAGGGAAAAAGGATATTGTTAGTTAGTGTAGAAGTAACTTTGATTTTGCTTTTTTGCACTAAGTATTGAAGTATATATGCATGTATATGTTTAAGAATTATTGTATTAGAGAAGCACATAGTAATTAGTACATTTATTTAAGTTTTTGACTACATTTGAATTTGATAGTTTTAGACCATATTAGGTTACTTTGCTTTAAACTTGCTTTTAACGCTTTAAAAAAAAACAGTATATTTTGGTAGATAACAGTAATTTATATGTATGTATGAATGAATTTATACATTCATCTAGTAAATTCTTATAGCACTCATGAGCAATGAGTGTTTCAACTAATAAAATTGATTTAAAAAAATAAAATATTAGTAATTTATAATTCGATAAGAGTTGCACTAGATTTTTTTCTTAATCTACATAATCTCGTATAATTAATTCACGTTTCGTAAACGCATTCGTACTGCTTGCATGCGGTGTTATATTGAGGGTGCTGAAAATATTACTGTTACTACTACAATTCTCAACAGGGCTACTACTAGCGCTACCAGCGCAGCCGCTTCCATTACTATTGTTATTGCTATTTAAACTATTTAAGGTGATATTAAAATTACTGTTGAAATTGCGTGTATGCAAAGTGGCGCTCGCCTGCTCACTCTGTAATTTTTGTAATTCATTTTGTAAACGCTGATTACTCAGGCGCAGGTTCTCGTTTTCATTAAGGCACTCACGTAGACTGGTAAGTAAAAGAAGAGCATTTTATATATGTATGATATGTACTTACAAAATATATTGGGCTTAATTAAATATATTATTATTTTTTTGTTGTTAATATTATTATTTTTATTTTTATTACTATTATTATTTTTATTTTTATTATTGTTATGGTTATTACTTCTATTATTATTATTATTATTATTATGATTATTATTTCTATTATTATTATTATTATTCTTTAAATTTAAAATCCCAAATGCTTACTTCTTACCTCTTGATTTCGTCCTGCATGGTTTTGATATATTCGCAAGCCTTTATTAATATTTGTGATTTGGAATCGCTGGGCGGTGTACGATTACTGCTATTGCTGTTGTTATTGTTGTTGTTATTATTATTATTATTAATACCACCACCATTGTTGGTGTTTATCTTTGGTGTCATTTGCTCCATTGTATTATTCTGGTGACTACTATTGTTGTTGTTAGAAACACCCTCTGTCGGCAACATTTCTTTAAGTTTGAAAATCCAATTGTTTATTTTATCACGTCGTCGGCGCTCTACTTCATTATGTGTTGCGCGTCGCTTATCATCACGCTAGAGAACGGAGAGAGGTACGCCACTGATACGCATATGCACATAACAAAATATAAAGCAAACCTACCTTTTTATACGCCTCCAAAATACAGCTACGTTTTGTATTATTGCCCTGCATATCGTTAGCGGCGCTCATGCTGGCCACAGGCAACACATTTCTATGCGTAGCAATATGTCCTTCATTACTAGAGCGATGTGTTGACTTAGTTGTAATTGCACAAGGCAATTTGGTATTACGCAGAATTTGCACGCCATTCATTACGATGGCTGTGGGCGTATTAGTGGTTGTTGTTGTAGTAGGCGTGGAAGTCATACTGGAGTCAGGCTCTAATTTTATTGATGTTGTTGTTGTTGGTGTGCATGGAAGAGGTGGACTAGGCGGATCCTGTAAAATCTCACTGTCCTCGGTGAGTATGGTGGGCATGTTGTCAACATATTCCTTTACAATATAAATTTCACATCCATTTGAGAGTTGCATTGGCAGCGTTGCATTTAGCGATGTTGAGAGATTATCATTGACAAGATTGCCGCTCGTTAAATTTTCTACGCTAGGCTGCTGGCGATGTATTTGATTAATTAGCCGATATTGTAGTGGTAATGTTTGTGTCGCTTGAGTGCTACTACTACTCACATTAGCAATACATAAAGCTTCTTCATGTTCTTGCTTAATTTGCGCCAATGTGCTACCAATTGTCAAATACTCCTGCGACTCATTTGAGTTCTCATCACAGATGGTTAGAAACACATTTGAGGGTAACATGCTGAGTGAACCAGTGACGCTGGCATCTGAGTTGGAAGTATTGCTCAAAAAGATACTGCAAATATGTATGTATGAAGGTATGTTCAGAAAATTACGTAAATTATGTATACAGTACTTACTTGTGCGTGCCACCAATACTGTTTGTATCAACCTGGGCTGCATTAACTGCACAGCTATTATTGATGCCCGCATCAATATTCGCTGGCGCTACAGACAATTCTAATCGCGATCGTTTATTCCTGCTATTCATGTTGACATTCACTCTTCGAATGTGACTCCCTTCGTCGTCCAGAAAGACCCTCAAAAATATTTTAGCCTTGAATTTACACTGTGAGAAAAAACATTAGAGGTGTTTAGTTACTTGCTTTCCACAGTTAATATTTATTTGCTTATAAATAAAGCACTATATAATTACATTCGTAAATAAACAAATTTTTCTATTGGAAATCTTACATTTTGACTTTTACTTTGAAAACAATACACAAATGTCAAATAAACAAAAATAAAAGTGGTAGTGCTGCCACAGTACACAGTATTGAAGAAAAAATTTAAATTTAATTTTAAATTTAAAAAATCCAATTTATGAGAATCAAGGGAATTTTATAATGTAAAGAAAACAGTTATGAAAATATCTACATTAAGATTGAATTAAACGTAAAATAATTGGTATGTTGTTTGAAAGTTAGTTGACAATTTGTGATACAGTTTGAAGGACAATGTAGGGTACTAATGTGACGTTTCTGATGATATATTTTAAAAAATTTGCAATGAATTAATTTTACAATGAATGAGCCTGGTGAGCAGTTAATTAAATTAGCGAAGTATAACGAGTTGCAGGAATTTATCGTTGAAAGTAAAGCACGATTACAAACAATTTTAAAACGCTTAAAATGGGATACTGAACCGGTAAGTTATTATATACAAAATGCATGTACGTATTTAAAAGCACTTATGTAAATCCTTATATTAACATTTATTTAGTTTCCTCTCAAGAAACTGGACATAAAAGATACAGGATGTGATGATGATTCAGAACCAGAGTTACCGGCAAGTTGTGCTGCGTTCAATTCTATAGTTACTGGTAGGTCATTCCAATAAACCGATAATATGCTTACATTAATATTTGGTTGTAGATGTGGAAGAGCTACGTAAAATAGTAGGCGATACAAAAATAGAAGTTCCTAAAAAATTTTCAGACTTGCAGTTCAATTTTACCAACCAACAAAAACTTGCTATTTATGAGCATGTTGTAGCAAATACCAAAAAATGTGAAGAACCAGAAATTACAGTGCCGTAAGTTGGCTATGTAAATGTCTTAATTTCAAAAAACTAATTAATTTTTTTATGCCTCACAGAGCATTGGGAGAAGAAGGACTGACATTTGCCGACATAGTAGCACAAAAGAAACGGGAGACAAAGAAACGTCGGCGCTATAGACAAAGTAAACCAACACATCTTGAAAATGTTCGCGCCATGATAGATCTGCAAATGCAGGCTTTGCAACAGTACAATAATGCCAGGGTTGAAGAAGAACGTAAAAAGAATACATATGAGCGACCCAAAGAGCGAACTGATAGAAATCGTTCGCCAGAGATGAAAAGAGAACATTTCCGATTCAAGCACAGAAGTCGAAGCCGTAGCATTGAGTGCGAAGATCATAGAAGGAAAAAACATAGAAGCCGTAGTGTAAGCAAAAGTCGTAAATGCAGTAAGCATAAAGAACGCAACTGTAATGGTAGTAGAAAAAGAGATAGGAAGGTACATAAACGTCGTAGTAGAAGCCGGAGCAAAAGTAAAAAGCGGAAGTCACATAAACGACGTAGTAGGAGTAGGAGTCAAAGCGCGCTTCGCGGTCGTAGACGCAGCCACAGCATGAACAAAGTAAATCGCCGAAAAAGTGATGTACATGAAAAATTGTAAATCAATTTGGAAAATGCTTTTAAATAATACAAGACTGTCATTAAGCCAGAACTATTTATTTAAATTTCTTTTGCGTTCAATAAGTCCAACTCATTCCAGCGTTCTATATTTCACATAATTACTTAGTAGATGAGCGTGTGCGTCTGTTCCAATGGAAGTTTAATCCGTAATTTTTAACACGCTCCTTTTTTGGTTGTTCATCAACATCAACGAACCAACGCCATCCATTGCGTTCGCAATGTTCAATTGCTTCCTCCTTGGAGCCGAAATTTACTTGCATGTTGGAAAGTGGATCTCCGCTACAAGAAAAAGGGAAAACATTTATTAATATATGCATAAAAACAACTTATATTTTCTACATACGTTGAAGTCCAACCCATTAAAGGATTTTCCCAGCGTTCACGGTTATCAAACTCAATTTGCCAGTGATCGAGGTTATCGGTACCACTTTGCATTGCATTTTTGGGTGGCAAACTTATGCGTACACGGCGAGTTTTCACATGCTCTTCTGGTACACCACTAATTGGACTAAGGTCCACCTTTGTTGGCACAGTGATGGCGCCACTTAGTTTCTTCTTTCGCTCCACTTCTTCAGGGCGCGCGATAGCTTGAGCAACATCGATTGGTGGCGCATCGCGGGCACCCACAGGTGACATGCAGCGACTGCTGTTGCCGATCGTTCTCGCCCTGTGAACAACATGACGTATTTTAGAAACTCACTTATTTATATTGATTATAAAACTTGTCTATACCATTGTACACCTTGAGGAGCTTTTACGAAAATTTGCCGCACCAAGGACATAATTATTGACGAAAATAAATGAAATCAATTATTACATAAAAATTTTCTTTACTACTGAGAATTTTTGACAAACTCTGGAAACAATGTCAAATGCAGCTGTTGTTGTCTTGAACTGAAAAACAGGCACTTTGACAGTTCTCGTCAAAACTGACAACCCTGCCCTTGGTTGTTAAGTTAATAGACAATTCTGCGTTTGTTTATGGTTGATGATTGTATATCTGGATTAATAAGCGCGAATCAATAATTAAAATAATAATTTGTATGAAACATAAAAATGGATGCAGTTGTATTGGATAATGGTGCGTACACGGCGAAAGTGGGGTTATCAACTCAAGACGATCCCACCATTGTGCCTAACTGCATTATGAAGGCAAAAGCTGAAAGACGCCGTGCTTTTATTGGTACTCAAATTGATGAATGCCGGGATGCTTCAGGCCTGTTTTTTATACTGTGCTTCCAAAAAGGATATCTACTAAATTGGGATATACAAAAAACCGTTTGGGATCATATATTTAGCAATGAAGGTACAGGTATTTCGCTGGAGGATCGTCCAATGGTAATAACTGAGCCACAACTAAATTTCGCTAGCATACAGGAAGCCACCATGGAAATACTTTTCGAAGAGTATCATTGTTCCGGTGTACATAAATGCACAACAGCCGAGTTGGCTGCTTACAATTATGCGGCCGAAAGCGACGAAAGTCCATTGCAAGCACTAAACTGTGTTGTCATAGATGTCGGTTATAGTTTTACGCATGTAGTACCATTTGTACGCGGGCGCCGTATTGAACGTGGTATACGGCGTATTGAAGTTGGTGGCAAAGTGCTGACAAATCACTTGAAAGAACTCATTTCGTATCGTCACTTAAATATGATGGACGAATCTTATGTTGTTAATCAAATTAAAGAAGATGTGTGTTTTGTTTCTCAAGACTTTAAGGACGATATGCGTGTGCACACATCAGCTGAAAAGCGCTCAAAACTAGTAGTTGAATATGTTTTGCCAGATTTCACAACCGTTAAACGTGGATTTATTCGTAAAATGAGCAACAAATCCAATGAAAAGGACCAAGAAGAGGAACGGGAAGGCGATCAACAATCCGTACGTTTATGTAATGAACGCTTTACGGTACCTGAACTGCTTTTCAATCCTAGTGACGTAGGAATACAGCAAGTGGGCATAGCAGAAGCAGTAATCGATTGCCTCAAGGACTGTCCTGTCTATTCGCATAGCGAGTTGCTTCGAAACGTGCTGATAATAGGTGGTAGTTCACTTTTTCCAGGCTTCATACCACGTCTAAAGGCAGAGATACGTGCGCTGGCACCAGATGATTTGGAAGTATCGCTGATTTTTCCAGAGGATCCAATATCTTATGGCTGGTATGGTGGTAAAGAGCTGGCTTGTAGTGATGGTTTTAAAGATATGCTATTCACCAGAGAGGAGTATGACGAAAATGGATACTCAGCAAGTAATGGGAAATAAATTAATAGTTAATAAGCTGTCAATGTGTCTATTACTTGAATTTACTACTTTAAAATTTAAATACAGTATTGCTGTACTGCCAAAAGCTTTTTAAGCGGCTTTTATTTATAATTATGTTTATATTGAATTAACATATTTTAAGTGTTTTAAATGTTTTTTAAAACAAACGTATTCACAGAACTATTACTTAGTCAAAAAATTTGTTTAAACTAATTTCTAGCAGACTTATGCTTAAGAGAACGTAGAAAACTACGCACATTTTAAGTATCATTTTCTACGTGCCCTTAAGCTGTTACTATTACATACATTTATAATAATATTCATCAGTTGGCCGAATTAAAAGCTAAACGATTCGCCACATCCGCAAGTTCCTTTTATGTTTGGATTATTAAAAACGAATTCACTGGAAAGCTTGGACTCCACGAAATCCATTTCAGTGCCTAAAATAAATATATTTTGTGAATGTAAATAACAAATAAACAGCATTGAAGAAAAGTAAAAATAAACAAAGCTACTTATATAAGAATTGCAGCGTATAACAGAAATTCTTACCAAGCAAAGACAACTGCGCCTTCTTATCTATATACACTTTGACACCATCTTGTACTACTTCTTCGTCGAACTTATCTGCAAATGCACAATTTCATACATACACATGTATTTACAACTTATAACACTGGTACCTTTTCCCTCGGCATAGTTCAGCGTATATGAGAGCCCATTACAACCACGCTGTCGGACGCCTACCTTCAAACCTGTCTGTATATGCAGAAATTACTAATTTCCTAAAACGATTTATTTTTATACTGTTGTACTTACGAATTCTGGTTTATCTTGCAGTAATTCCTTAATACGTTTTACAGCCGAATTTGTCTATAAATAGCATTTTTAGTACAGGATAATTTCATCACAAGATTTCTCTACTTACCAATGTAAGTGCTGCGCGTGTGGGCAACAATTTTCGTCCTTTCAATGCACGCACTGTCGCTGTCGCTACTACTTTTGTTGACATCCTTGTTTTGATTAGAAATTTTACCTTAATTTATATACTTAGTTTTTATACGCGCGCGTTTAAAAGTTTATTCATAACAGAAAACTTTTTATTTACTTCTCTTTTATCAGCAGTCCGTTTCATAATCGACCGTATGAAATTGACAATCAGCTGTTGCCGCATTTGCATTGCCAAACTCATAAACTAATCGTTGACATATACCTACTGGTTGGCAACGTGAGTGGAAGCGAAACATGTGTGTGGCGTGATAAATAGCGCAATTGGGGACAATTGTGTGGGGCGTTTGACTGTCAAATTTCTAACAGACTGCTGTGTCTACGTTTATTTTGGAAATGTTACATTTTATCTGGGTTTTATGTTTTCATTTGGTCGTAATTGTGCGCGGGAATGCTAGTACAAAGTGATTTATAGTTTTTATATAGAGATATAGTCTTGTGAGAACATTAAAATTGATTGTAGCGACAGTGGTTTATTTTGTTAATGTTTTTGTGATTAAGAAGCACTATGGCCCTAAACTTATTGTCCCAATCTTAGTTATTATTGCTGCTGCAGCGTATGATCATTGCGACGCGTGCTCAAATTATAATTTTGGTGTGTGTTTAGGCGTATACAGTTGGTTTTGGTGAAGCTACCCGAGGCATATCATATTTGTGTATCTTAAATAAACTGTAGCAGTCGCCTTCAATACATTTTTGGAGAAATAGCTTTGGCATTGGGGCACTTAATATAACCGAGTGCATACACAACTAGACAAACAGTTGTGGTCAAACGCGCACAGACAATTGGACAAAAAGCACAAAAACGTACATATATATGTGTATGTATGAACGTACACACGTATGCAGTGAAAAAGAACGCGTGCATTAGTGTTGTTGGGCTATGTATTTAATTTAAATTGGAATTTATTACACATTCTCTTAAAAAAACTGTTTTTGTTGAACGGATCAGTCGATCGGTTGTTTGCTGAACTCAGCAAAATTTATTTTTTACTTTCTTTGATGCCAGGGGTAGTGTGTGAGAGATATTTTTTATGCTTTAAGACATTTTTATAAATTTTAAAAATAAACAAACTCAAAAAACTAGCGACGAACACGCAGAATAAACGTGACGACGGTGGAATCAGATACAAGTGCGCACAACACAAACAGGCAGTGCGAGAAACAACATAACAATTCGCGTTTAAATCAAGGGCTTTTTGCCTAGTTTATATATAATATTATAAAAAAATAAAAAAAAACATTAATTAAAATTTTATTAAAAAAAAAACGCATCAAATTTGTGAGTTAAAAATAAAATAAATAAAAATATCTTAAGGTAAAGAATTAAAATCGCATCAGTGCTTAAAAACCAAATTTTAAGAGGCATACCTGCAAAAATAAATTTAAAAGCACCTCACAATATGGACGCGGACAATGAAAATGAGGTGTTATGCGAGAAAATCATAAACGACATTCATGCTGTATTTCTCAAGGATCCAGACCTGTAAGTAAACGCAAACATCTTATATATGTACGTCCTTATTTCAACCATGAAGCACAACTATGTAAAAGCATGCTTATATGTATGTATGCCGTTGCACACACAGTCACGCATGCACGTTTGTATATAAATTTGAATTTGTGTGTTTCCGTATCCGTATGTACTCATATCCTTTGATTTTGTGCAGAGTTTTCTTCATATCAGTCTATATTGAGGTTGAGAACAACAAACAATTTTATGCTAGTATGAGTAGTTTATTTATATACATACATGCATATATTGTTGGCGTCAAGTATACGATACGTTGCTCAAAGCGTGATATGTTTATATGCATATACGTATGTATGTAAATATTCACAAAAAATATATTAATTAATATAGTGATGTACAGTAGTTCTTATTGCGTATGACTGGAAAATTTCTCAAATTTTCCAACTACTAAGTTGGTTTTACTTATAATTATATCACCTTTTAGCTTTCTTTACGCGAAGTTTTATATCATATTAACTTTAAAAAATCATTTAAGTTATGCGGTAAAAATGCGAAAAACACAATCAGCCCGATTTCAGACTTTTACTTTATAAATTAAATATTTATAAGAAAATCAGCTACAATACGCGTATTGTTATGTTGTTATGTACATATATACGTAATTTTTATTTTTTATATATTAAATTGTTTAAGGTTTCATTTATCATTTGATAGTTTTAATTTTCGTCAAAATAATTATCTTTTTTGGAATTTAATGCGTGAACGAAAAATGTGTATCTATGATTTTAGTATGTATGTATATACATACATGTACATATATATACAAATGTGTCATATTCCGCTTCTTAAGTTTTTGCTACCCTTTATTTTCATTATCATAAATTATTCATTTATGATTTTTTTTACCGTCTGGTGCGTATCAATCTATTATACATAAGTCGCTGAAGCCACTCAATTTCAATCACACTCCGTTTATAATGATTATTTTAATCACTCTATATACATATGTATGTATATCTATACCATGTATAAATGCCGGTACATTTAATATAGTACATACAGACATACATATGTATATAAATTAATTTATTATTGTCCGGCAAGCATAATATGCCAAAGTAATCAATTTTATTTTCGTATATGCCTTCAACGGCATAAACAGATATCTATATAGGTCAACGTACATAAATAACTCAAATTAACTTTAAATGTGTTTCCTTTTCATAGTATATTTATTTAAAAAAGAATTTTAAATAGCGCACCAATGCAGGTGTACTTTTTATGTGCACGTGTTTTTTTTTTTCTTGCTTGTCAAATATAATTTACGATTGTTCATTCATACAGTGGCTTGACAACCCATAGACTTATGCTTCTCCTATAACTTCATTATGTTTGCAGTGCCTTTAAAACTGCAGTGACTTAAATTTACTGAGTTATCAAGTGAATAATATTGAATTAATTACTTTGTTTTAAAACAGCAAAAAGTAATACAAATTTCATGATAAGGAAAAAAGCCATAGTGCTTTACGCTTATTGAAGAAAAATGTGTAACCACAATGGGTATGATATGAACTTTCATTATATGTATGATACGTAAATCATTTGTACATTTTAATGCATGGATACCAACTTAAATAAATTTGTACACATACACACTTACATATGCGCTTCATTGATATAAGTGCTTATGCGAGTTAATTGATTTGATTGTGCACAGGCTGCTGGCGTCCCTGTCGGATCTTTTCTGTTGTCGTGCCACAGCTAGTGTTCATACCACAAACGCATATATGTATATACACGTATTTATGCACATACAGGCACGTTATCATGATAATTTATTCGTACAAACAATGTTGACGCGCCACACCGAGCGACAAATGCTTGACCTTGTCATTCAATTGAGCTGGAACACTGGAGCTAAAGCTGGTGTTTGCATGCCGCGCTCATAACAATTCATTTTCATCTAATACATATCTATGAATGCTGACATCCGTATGCATACAATGTTTGTATGTTTTATTTTTTATAATATTATATAAGTGCTGTTGTCATAATTGTCATTTGTTGTTTACATTTCATATTTGTGTTTGTAATTGTGTTGTTTTTTTTATTATTATTGTGGCAACTAGTGCTGCTCTATTAAATATTTACAATCGCGCTTCATAAATACGACCATACCAACACACTCATTTTCATAAAAAGCAAAATAAAAATAACAACCATCAACCTATGTATGTATGTAAATCAATCAAGTGATTTTTGGAGCACTTAACTGTCATGCAAATAGATAGGCGAATAAAATATTTTTTTTTCTCCTCTTATTTTTTAGCTCTACATTCGAAATTATACCGACTATTTTAAATCGCAACAAATCACCCGTCATCCATGCTGAACATCATCTCGGCTTGGAGTCATGGTGTATGAAACATGTTTATGATCATGCACATAAATCGATAATCGGTTATCGACGCCAACATCAATCACGTTATCTGCAACATAGCGATGTGTTGCTAAAGTATCTAAATATTGCGCTACTCGTTAATCCGGATGTGACCACATTCTGGCATATACGCCGGCAGATGGTGCAAACAAATCATTTAAAAATTAATTGCGAATTTAAATTCTCTGCATTGATTTTGTCAAAAAAACCGAAATCGAATGAGGCGTTCGCATATCGGCGTTGGTTGTACTCGTTTCAGAGTGAGTATGCCTGTGATTTTTGTTTTATGAAAAAAAGATGACTTGATGCAAATTTTCTCATTCCAGGTCATGATGCCATCGATTGGCCGAGTGAATTTGGAATTTGCGATCGTTGTGCCGATCGCAGCTCAAATAATTACTTCGCTTGGACCCATCGTCAGTGGGTGTTGCAAAATGCGCCCGATCTGATACGTTCCGAATTGATGATGACTGAAAAATTTATGCGTAAACACATAAGCGACTACAGTAGCTATCATTATCGTCAAATATTGATAGCACGCGCCTATGAATTGTGTTACTATGAATCGAATGAGTTGCAGCACTTACATAACCTCAAAGATTTAATAAGTTATTACCTGGTTGATGATTTAGAAATACTCAGTACGGCCGATGTATTGCAGATAATGTTGCCTGGCGTCAATCAAGTTGCTGTGGGTGAGCCGCGTTTGAGCTCCTTCCTGTATTGTTGCAATTTGGCAGCGCATGATATACGCCTGTGTGACGATCAAAAGAATATGTATGGCGAACGTGAATCTTTCGAGAATCATCGACGCGCCTCGTTGCGTTTTATTGTAGAGAATTGTGTGCGTTTGTTGTTGGGTGAGCTGCCGGGCTTGTATTTGGCGCCCCGCACATATGCAGAGCTGCAGGAATTCAATGTCGCACTGAAAAAGTTCGATTATTCTTCCAATACATTTTTGGCGGCGCTAAAGCGCTCGGAGAGTCTATTGGGCGAGAAACATCGCAAGTGGTGTACTATATTTTTGGGCTTCAATTATGCGTGAAGCGTTTGACAAAAAAAAAAAAAAAGAGTAAACTCATTTTAGAGTTTTTAGAGGCGAATTAATTTTTATACTAGCACAAAGTAAATAGAAAGCTTTATGGTTTTATATTATAGACATGAGCATAGTAAATTGGAAAAGTTTTAGCGTTGCCTTAGAAGCATTTTTGCAAATACCTAAAATTTTGAATAAAACATCGAATACATTTTTTTGTAAAACCTTTCAGTTGATGATTTGAGATCAATAATATTTGTTAGCACCATAAAAGTTGTTTTTTCTAAATATATAACGATTACAAAAAAAAAAAACACTGAATTTACATTTTTTGATCAGTTTCGAAATTTCAAATTCTAAGTTTAACGCTAAATTAACGCAAAAAATGTCAAACAAAATTAAAAAAGTATATATTTTCTCAAATTTTTTTTATGAAAAATACGAAAAACCCTCTATAAGAAAACCTTTAAACTTCTTAAGTAATTTTAATAGTAAATTTGCTTATACTTTGTCTTTTTCTATTCTATTATTATTTGAATGTTAAACAAATTCTTACCTGTCCTTTGAAGAAATACATGTAAAATGTTAATTGTCAAGTAAAAAACATTTTTGTCCACGCAAAACACTTTTAAAAAGTTGCATTTATAATTTAATTACTATTACAAATAAAATCATTTATAACTACTTTACGTACATATACATAAATATTTATATACATATATTTTGTCATATCTACGCTGTCTATCACGCTGTGCTTTAACTTTTAAGTAATATATGTAACTATTATTAATTTTCAAATATTATGTTCTGCTAAGTTAAAAGACGTTATTTTCTAATTTTTTAGTTGATTCGCTTCTTTTGTTAAAAACAAAAGGTAAAACGAAAAACAAAAACTTTGCTTCAATACTCTTGTAACGAAATTAAGAAATATCTGTGTATGTAACACATTTTAAGCAGAACATGCTGTATAGTTAGCATTTATTAGATTTCTTTTAGCTAAATTTGACAGTAAATAGATGCGTATAAACAAATATTGTTAATTAAAGTTTAAAAAATTATGTCTGAAAGAAATAAATATTAAAAAAAAATATATTAAAAGAGTTGTGTTTTCCCTTTTCTGCAATTAAAATAAAAAAAAAAAAATCATTTATATTAAAAATTACATTTTTTCATTTAAATTTTGAGTTAACTAAAAAATTTTCAAGTATAATTTATGAATATTACTCGATTTACAATTTCTGACAGGGGTTTATCCGTTGCTGCCAATGCATGTATGCCTGTATGTGTCTCGTTTCCGTTTTCCGTTAGCTCGTAGCAGCGTTTTAGGCACACCTCGTTTTTGCGCGTGTTTTCCTTGTACAGCGAGTCATAAATCAAAGAACACATGCATATACATGTATATTGGTATATGTTTATGGAAGCTTTGGGTGGAATGCAAGGAGGAATAAGAATAGTAAATGTACATACATACATTTGTACGTATGAACAATTTTCAATTCAGTTTTATAATTTATTTTTTTACTTTATTTTATTTTATTTTATTTTTATTATTGAGTTCTACACAAAAATCCATTTAATTACTTTTTATTTAATTAATTTTTTTATATTTGTTATTTTACTACATTGCCATTGTCTTAGCATTAAATCACACTATTTATTTTGTTTTTATTTGCTTTTATTTATTTGTTTATTTTTTCATTTGGCATCAATTATTTTCTTGTCAAGTAAATAAGTCTAAGAGAAAAATTATTCAATAGAGCAAATGTGTACATATACATAGGTATATGCTTGCACATAAAGACTAGTGAAAGGAATAAAATTGGAAAAAATAGAAATTCAATTATACTGTGCCGCAATTTTTTGCTATCCAAAACCGCTTAGAAATTGAAAATCACTTTGGGAAGTTAAAAAAAAATATTCACTTAAAAACGTTTTTAGTGAATGTTGAAAATTTTTCTTCAAAGGTGGTTTCGTTTATTTTGTAGCACGGTGTCACTACTCGCTTTTTTCACACACGCTTTATTTATTGGGCGGAGGATGAGAGATTATTGAGTTTAATGAACAAGTTTCAGCAGCTAAATTCTCATTTCATATATACTTTTTATATGTACATATTTATGTATGTACATATTTATGTTTTTGTTTGTCTATTAAATTAGCCGATGTCCGTTTAGACAAACGCATAGAGTAAAGTGAAGACATTGTATATAAGACAGTGTATTTAAATTCTGGCAGTCTTTTATTTCAAAGGTCATTCACGGCTGTATCTGCACAAGAAAACTATTAGTGTAGGCGTGTTTTGAGTACACAAATATTTTTTTATTGCCAGTTGAGCAAATATGTATATTTACAAGAGAGAGATTTGATTTGTGCGTTGTGTTGAAAGTGAAATTAGTTGATATATTATTACATTTAATAATAATTGTGTGAATATTGTGTATGAATACGATCAAATCAATACACACTTGTAGTCTATTAATGAAAAGTAGTTCCGCCTTCGTTTTAATTGAATAAAAATACTAATTCGTTTCACTTAGCAAAAAGGAAAAAAACACAGGCACACGCACAAACACGTTTTCAAATAACAGCAGTTGGTCATTTGGTCAGTTACACAGCTGTCATCCTAATGTTTACTAATTAAGCCATATGTCACTGAAGGGAAAAGATCCGTTGATTGCGCTGCCAACTGTTTCAGACCCACTTAGAAATTTGTTATTTACTCATTAACATTGATTGAAAAAAGAATAACGTGTAATACATGTGTATGTACATATATTCGGCTTACAAAAAGAATAAAAAATAAGTAACAATTAAATTAACCGTAAGCCTCTGTTATTGTAAACCTCAAAGCGTTTGTGAATGTGCGCCAATAATATTGCATTCCCATTACAAACAAACAAGAAAAAAGCATAGGTAAATAATACAACAAATGTGCCAGAAATATAGAAAGCAAAAAAAAAAAGCAGCGAATAAAAATAAATTCAACCACAAAAACTCAAGAAAGTATATGTGCAACGGATAGCAATTGCATGCGATTTGGCCTCGAGGTTCCTGTCACCACAAACGCCGGCATTTCGTTTTGTTTTGTTTTTCATTTAAGTAATTTTTTTTTTAGCTTTTATTTCAATTTTCTTTGACAATAAACAGAACAACAACAATAGCAACAAATTAAGAACTGTTGGTTGGCCCTCAATAAGACAGCGCCCTCAACCGCGAGGAATTTGCTAATTTTCATTGTCAATTTCAGTGGCAGTGTAACCGTCCGCCCGACATGTTTGAAATACAAAAAGTGTTAAGCATTCAAATTAGTAGTGTTTGAGGCCAATTATAAAACAGAGAAACTAAATACAATAACTAATCGTAATAGAAATTAAAAGTTCCAAATAAATAAAAAATAGTTCTGCAGCGTCTGACGTTTTTTTTGGAATTTTTATATACATTTGTATTAAAATGTCACATAATAATAAAAGTATGCAATATCTGTCCGTCAATACGGAAGATTATTTGCTACCTTTACGTCCGGCTCATCGGCGCATTAGTCGTTCTATTTCTCCCGGTTTGGATACAATGGAATCGTTGGATGAGTGTGAAAGTCAACATGATTTGAGGAAGACGGCAAGCAGTAAATGTGAGTAAAGGAAACTAGTGAAAGAATGCAACTGGTTTGAAGAATTGTTAGATGGATATGAAGAATATTTCATATAATACTTTCTTCTTTATATAATATTCCTTTCCTCGAGCACTTTTACTGTTGAGTCCTTCAGAGAGCTGAGTTCTACACAAAATTTAATCTTAATATTTATCATACCCCCAGCACTTTTACTCCTACACAAATTCACATCAAGTGATTCGAATCTGAGCACCACAGCAGAGAGCACGACAAGCACACGCAAAGCGATTTATAAATCCACCGAAAGCCTCTGTTTTGGCCGTCCTAAGAAACGTTTACATCGCCAGATGCAAATAAGTGAAATCTATCGACCGCGTCCACGTTGTAATACAGATCCAGTGGAAACTGATAGTTTGCGTAGAAAAAAGTTACCAATACCGCTACTAACTGTCCCACCGGAAACATCAAATTCGGAATGCAGTTCACTTTCTAGCTCAGTTGCGCCCACACCTTTACTTGGACGGAAACATCATCAACGTCGCTCGACCGCATTGAGTTCTTTGATTGAGCAAGCATTGAAAGTGACGACGGCATCAGTTGGCCTTAAGTCTGCCAAAACGGATGAGAGGTGAGTGTATAGGATCATAATCTCATGAAAAAACACTATTTAAGGCACTAGTTCCTTTCATAAACCATAGGTCTGAGGTATACCACATTTTGCTAACCACATCGCTTAATATTAAAAGGTTTCATTACACGATACCATCCAAGGGTCTCCACTTTTACTTCCTTTTATACACCCAATAAAATACGGCCTAGACATATCAAATTCCATCATATACAAATCAAACATCACATTATCTAATACATCACACGACACCACCTAACCCAGCTGCCATGCTTTCTTTTATGGACTCTCATACTGGAGGCATGATATCACGTCCTATCATATATGGAGGCTGCCACTTTGGCGTAAACACATCACATGATATCACGTCACCTCACATCGCACGACACCATCTAGAGGCCGGTACCTTGCTGCTTTTTATACAATCTAGGCCTGGAGACTGCCACTCTTTCGTACACATATCACTTGACGTCACCTTATTTACCATCACAAAGTCACATCACATCACACGACACCAACAAGAGGCCGCTACCTTGCTGCCTTTTATACAATCTAGGCCCGGAGGCTGCCACTCTTTCGTACACATATCACTTGATGTCACTTTATTTATCATCACAAAGTCACATCACATCTCACTTGACACCACCTAGAGGCCGGTACCTTGCTGCCTTTTATACAATCTAGGCCCGGAGGCTGCCACTCTTTCGTACACATATCACTTGACGTCACTTTATTTACCATCACAAAGTCACATCAAATCACACAACACCACCTAAAGGCCGGTACCTTGCTGCCTTTTATACAATCTAGGCCTGGAGACTGCTACTTTGTCACTAATATATCACTTGTTGTCACTTTATTCACGTTAAATAATCGAATGCGGACGACGAATTTCTTTATATATGTGTAGCGATCGCTCATTACATATATTTTCTTTATAGTGGCAGCGATTACTCCTTTGATTTCTTTAACCCTTCGATGACTTCAGAAGTGTAACGTCTAATAATTACGTCATAAGCTTTCCAAACAAATGTATTTGCTAAATTTTAGAATTTTCTACAGTATCGATTAACAGCTGGATTTTTTTAATGACGTTCGTGTTTCCATTTCAATATTCTATTGACCTTACCCATTATTGTATGTAAGAGCATTTGTTAATGGCCACCAAAATAGACGCTTGCCATTCCACTTTGAATTAACTTTTTTATACAAAGCGTACATATATGCACGTATATTTGGTTGTATAGTAAAACTAAATAATAGTTTTTGCTTGCCGAATAGACATGATGTCAGAGTAATTAATTGCTGTCAAAGTAAACAAGCTTAGGGAGAGAGCTTGTGGCCAAGTGAAATAGAGAATTGTAAAAGGAAAAAAATGCTGCTTGTAGGTGGAAGATTAATTTCTATTTAAATGTGGATTAAATTAACGTACTTTGCTTTCAAACTGAGAAAAAGACCAAATGATGTTGAAGGGGAAATACCGAAAAAAAGAAAAACACAAAATAATAATTTATTGAATTTTAGAAGAGGGTTGCATCAGCGAATATTTTTTTAAGACTTTAACTATTAAAATTGTTTATAATTTGCCCACCAGTTATTGAGTACTTACAAAACCAGTCCACATAAGACACGTAAGGACTATTGTCGCTTGTTTTTTTTAAATTAACTTAATGAATATATTATCTTGAGCGATGCGGCAAGCGGCATCAATTAAACTACATTTTTTTCTAAAATGGCGGGCGATGAAACAAATATTTGTTTTTGTTTTTTTCTACTAAAAAGCCCTTTTATGTGATAAAATTTATTGTGCCAAGAAAAACTTTTCCTTATGACAATAGCCATTTTTATTGTTGTCAACGATATGAACTCACGTCATATCACATTCCATCCCTAGCCCAAAACAGCAATAAAGCTAAAGGCAAAGCAATGTAAACAAACTTTGCTGCACCAAAATGCAGCCAAAAAGGAGGTCATCATCGAGCATTCATAATAATGCATATATATATGTATTTTAAAATGCAAAAAAAAAGTCATCAATTGCGTAAACAATCGATTGAAAATGAAAATATACACATGTAGCGTACTTTACTAAAAAAAAAGTTGGCTGCCAAACTGTTTCATTATTGATGCTGACAACAGTTTGAGTTAGAACTGTCAATGCTGCTTATAATAATAACTAGATCATTCATTATGATTAGATTAATTTTCTGTGCGATTTTTATTTAATTTAGTTTTATTTAAAATTCTTTATTGATACATAAATAAATGCGCTGAGATGAGAAACATTCAATTAGGAGTTACCTCGAAGCAAATTTTCTGCAGACTCACATTAATTATAATGCATTGAGAAGATATATTTTGTATTTGATTTCCATTGCTAATTTTTTACGTTTTCGAAGTAAATGAAGTAATTAAATTTATAACAATTAATATGCGATCATTGAACTGTGCAAAAAAAAAAACGAGCTGAATAATATTCATACGTAAGAATACAAATCGCGTTGCCAATTGCTATATAATATCGGCATTTAAAAGAAAAAAAAAGAAAATGTACAATTTAGTGTCATTACTTAATAATTGGTGTCTAGCTGCTGTCTTATGGTCGTTTCCTGTTTATGACAATATTAAATAACGGTTACATGATAATAACCAATGTTGGCTGGCAAAAAAGATGAGTAAATGCCGCAAGAAATGCGATATTAAGGGCGTCGCGGCTACCACAGCTGACCATGGTTGGCGTAATAGCGGCGCACTAAAACTAAAAACAACAAAAGTAATTTTTTTTTGTTAAACCTACGGCTATTGACGCCTAATGAAATTACATATCAGCGTAAAGCTTACACAAGAGACGATTGTGCATTGCATGATTTTTCAATATTTGCATATTTTGATTTTACAAAAACACATTACTTTTTGCATTTTGGAAAGCATTTTTGGAGCATGCGCTATTGCGCTACCATTTCTTGCGCTTGCATAAAAAGCCGGTTGCAAAAGCCAGAGAGCAAGAGTAAGAACAAGAATGAGTGAGCGTGTTTTATGAAAGAAACTCTTTTACACTTTTCGACGCTGGGCGTGTTGTAAGTGTGCGCATGCAAGAGAGTACGAGAGAGCACAAAAGGGCTCACGTGATACCGCTGCGACATAGTGCGAGGGACTGTGAGCACTTCGGCAACGCCGATAACTTTGACATTTGACCAAGTGTCATGGAGCTTAGGGCATGGGGTGGTAGAGTTCAACGGTGTTGGTTGCTGCCACACGCATGAGTTCACATGTGTATATGTACATTTTCGCACATCTGGATAAAGCATCGGAACAGCTGCGTGTTATGTGCGGCCTTACGTCGCTTGGGTGGGCGACGGTTGGTGGCTCGAAATGGCGTCGGCAGCTTTTGATTTGTGTTGTAGCAACGGTCGTTGGGCTGACTTCGGATGCGCACACGATATGACGATGTGGCGCAGCAAAGAGTCGAGCAAAGGTTTAGAAATGGCATTCAGCAGCATCGTAGTTGTTGTCTTTGTCATCGCCATCGTCGTCGTCGTCGTCGTCGCCGTAGTCGTTGGCACCTATGGTTTGCTTTTTGCCTCTGTGAGATGTCATAATCATTTGTGGAAATTTAGTATAGAGAGCATACGCCTGCAGTGACTGGTCGAGTAATCGAACGCTAGCCAAAGTATTTTGTTTGAAAATCGCCAAAATGTCATAAGAGTGTCTGAATGCATATATATTTTATTGAGAAAGTTATGTAGTTACATATGTGAGAATTTCATTATAAGAAATTAATTTGTTGCCTATTTTGCAAAGTAAAACAAATTTACATAAAAATTTGCAAAGAACAGTAGATAAAGCATTTACTTGTACATGTATAAAAGTCTTCCTGCCGCCCGCTGTGCAATCAATATTTACGCCGAACACTCAATTCAAAAGGTAACGTGAAAACTCAGTTGTGCCACAACAAAAGCAAATACTAAAAAAAATTCACTGAAAATTTGTGTAAGCACTTCACCATCAAAATACGCGCACACGAAATTCACAAAAAATGTAAAGCGTTTTGGGAAAATTGCATCAATCTCAAACGCCATGTAAAGCAATTGAATAAATCGCAAAAGCACAAAACGCCTTTATGCAATACAAAACTAAGGTGAGTAGTTGTGTTGCTGTTGATAATTCAGCAACGGAAGGAGGCAGAGTGGTATTGGCTTTGCGTCGATGAGGAGGTGGTAGTGACATTGTTGTTGGGTGGCATGAAAAAGTTGTTGTTTGTTTTTGAGTGTTGCTGCATGAGTGGTTGGCAACCCCACGCATTGCCATGTGCCTACATACAAACACACCATTAAGAAAACGGCACTCAAGCAGGGTTGTAGGTAAACAAAGGAATATGACATGATTTTTTAGACTTTGAGGGTTAGGTAATTGAAAAATGTAAAGCAGCTAGCAGCTAGGTGATGCAAGCAAGTACATATGTGCAAGAAAAAGAAGGAAATGTGAAAAAGTAGAAAATGCTGGAAAGTGTAGGTGACACGAAAGTGAACCAAAAAATTAAAATGTTGAAAAAAGTTTAGTTTAAAAATTAGTAGATGGACGATGCCATATAGTAAACGAAAAAAAAGTTCGCCGCCGGCACAATACCTACGAGTATGCTAAAAATAAGAAAAATTTTAATTTGCTTAAGCTGTTATTGAATAGGTATTTATTATATAGATACATACATTTGAACATATGATCTCCGAAACTAGCCGGCAGATTTGCCAGTTTATTTCTATGGGTCCTAAAAAGGTTTGTACGAAAAAATCTTTTTCGGAAAGTGGACTAAGAACCGACCTAATCGGAAAAATCTCATTTATTGTTCGATTCACTTGAAATTTGGCACATTGTTGTCTTTTTGGCTGGGTTAATAGAAATATTATTCTTTTCCCCCGGATCTGTGCCAGATACCCAGCTAGTATGATTTGGATATAAGCTTAAATCGTATGTTCGCTACGCAATGTTGTTATTCTCCGGGTGCGTTGGGCATACTTCCGGCGCTCGTTTTGATATTTTCCTAAAAGACTATGATTTAATTAATTTGATGTTTAATTAGGGTTTGTTATCGTTCTTTGTAAAGCCAATTAGAATAAAAATTGGACAAAATAAAGGAACCCACAACAATGTGTGGCAAGGTCTGTTAGTTATTTATTATATTAAAAGGAAAACGAATAATTTTAAAATTCTGCATTTTAATTTTCCGTCATTTTTCAACCTACAGCAAAAAATTAAGGTTAAGAAGTCCGCTTATTTACTCTAAATCGTTTTTTTTTAGCTTTACTCCACTTCTTTTACATACTTTGCGTGATCACTTCGCCCACACCTTAGCCTTACTTAAAGTATGGCTATTGTTTATCAAATTCATATCCTTATATCAAACACAAATTATGCTCTTGAACAAGTAATACGTATATTTTCCTGCTTATGTTTGTCTCCTACCTATCGCCTACTGCCCTTTTTCTTTACTAATTTGCGTGTTTTTACTTCATTATTATTATTTAGTAGGAGGTATTCAAATATGGAAAATATTTCAACAGCCCACAAACATACATACACAAATATGTGCATACACACATACATACATATAATATGTTGTATAATTATTTATCAACTCTCAAATTGATAATTTTAGCTTTCTTGTGCTCTTTAACAACATTATTTATTTGCTCACCCAAATTGTGACTGTTGACTCACCATATTAACTATTTTTGTACTAATTTTTGCTGAATAAATATAGAAAAAACTTCTGATAACAATATGAACGAATAATCACTTGGAAATTAGCACATCTGCACAGTTTTTTTTTTTTTTGTGAAATGTCAACTGCACATACATATGTTGCAGCATCAGTCACTCAATCACTCAATCAATCAATCAACCCAACACAACATTGTACTTGTAGTTGCTTGTACAACTAATTAGAGTTTTGATTATTTCGATTTCTTTTCCACTTTTTACAGATTAACTCAACAGGCAACAAAAACGGCAAATGATGATAATGTCAAACGCAGACTTTCAAGGTAAGCTCGTAAATCGATATCGTGCACGTGTATTTATTTTATCCGTATTCGTACATATGCATACATGTACATATATAGTGACTTACTTGCGTAACAGAAATATTCAGAGTAAAGAAGCTGCGTGTAGGATATTGCTTCGAAAAATAGATTGGTTGTGTGTATGTATTTAGCTGTAAGCTAATAAATATTATATAATAAATAAAGAGAAAAAATTGAAACATCCCTGCAGTCAAATGTAGGAGTTAAAAACTATCTCGAAACTAGTTTGTTGAAGAAGCCGAGTAAATAAATTGAATATCTTTCTTCATACTAGTTAAATACTAGTTCATTTATTTATTAAATTTTCAATTGGAAATAAAATAAGGAAAAAACAGTTCTTCAAGGTGACTCTTTATCGAGTGACTTCTTAATAAAATAACAGCTGTGGAACTAAATGGCGAAGGTATAATCTTCTAAGAGAGCACACAATGTGGGCGTGCGTTGTTGATATCTAGACTGCACAAAGATCAAGTCATTCCAACCTTGGTGTATTGCACAGAAGCCTGGAAATTGACGACAACTGATTGAGGCAGCAGTAGAAGCTTCTCTCGGTAGAAATGACGTATCAAAGATTTATATATCTTAACGTGGCAACGATAAGCTATATATACATATATACATTGGAAGAGTTCAGCGAAATAAGATACTGTGGCCACGTTGGCTAGAACATCTAATCTGTGTGGATGGAAGCTCATCATCATTGAAAGTGTTTGACACAGTATCTGCAAGCAAAGGCAAAGTAAGAATTAATGTCTATAATTGGAGTCGAAAAAATGACTAGCGCTTTTGTTGACTCGGATTTAAACGCGTACGCAGTACCTATGCCAATTAAGAATACAAATTTATAACAAAATACTTACCGTAGCGAGATTCGCACAATGATTCTCATTTCTAATAGAGACAATCTCTATACAAAAAATGTTTACATACTAGTCCAAAAATAGTGAACCGTATTATGAACTCCTTGGTTATGGAGCAGTTAGGATAGCACCTGCATTCATAAATAAAAAAAAATAAAAAAAGCGGGGAAGAGATCATGCCTATCGATTGGAACTTGAGTTTACTCCGCATAGGAGTTAAGAAAGAAGGCAGTGATCTTCTTGTGCCATGCAATATCGAAGGAGACTTCAAACAAGCCGCTTTTTATTGCGCGACTTGCCTAAATCGGAAATAGGAAAAGGACCAAGTGGTAAGGGATTTGGTACACAGTTGCGAGATAGCACATGGCAGAAATATTGTTATTGTGTAACACGTTCCAGTTATAATCTTTATTAGGCTAATACCTTCAGTTCTTCTGTTTGATTCTACGATTTGAAATCTTTCATTGTCTCATAAAATTTTTTGTACTAACCGCCCAGCGCTATTTTGCTGTCCTTTTCACAAAGGCAATGCCGCAAATTATTTCTTTTTATTTCTTCTATTATAAATGTATGAGAATTTTATGTATAGAGAATTAAGATTGAAGTATCATGCCAAAATTCAAAAACCGATCTTCAAAAACGAATATATTGTATGTAGTACTTACATACATACATATGTACGTACACATAGCGATGATTATTTTGGCCACGCATAACGCATGTCTAGACCAACACCATAAATAAACTGAAATGGAACAAAACAAATTAGCGTATAATAATAATATAAAAGAATTTTCAACAACAAAAACACTAGAACCAATTTTCAGCCCGAGAGTCACTCAAGTGTGAAGGCGTGCACAAAGTGTCGCGAAATAAAAAAAAAATAAGAGAATATTTTTCATATAATTTCCCATAGAATTGCCGCAATAATCACAACGTCAGAAATTATGACGTTTGTTAGCATTTTGTTGGCGCGTCAATGTTTAAAGGGCACTAACAATTTCTGTACGTATGCATGTATGCACTTGTCTCGCGATAGACTAAAAAAAAAAAAATAATAATAATAAATGAAAAAATAGACAACAAACAAACAGACTTTTTGCGATAAAATCTCACATTCTCACTGTGAGTCACGAAAAAAATTACACACACACGCGCTTTATGAACTATATGTACGTGCAAATATTTTACATCTGTCTAATGCTCTTGTCAATCCAAAGTTCAAGCATAGGTAGGCACATTTGACACTTGCGACAATCAGTCGGCGAAATAAACGAGTTGACCATTCAAAGGACGAAGCACTTTGTTTGTGTATTCTTACAGCTATTTTTTGTGCGCCGACAAATGTCATTGTTGTCTGAATTGTGTTTTTCATTACAGCCACTCTGAATAATCAACCAACAACACGTTTATTCATATACTCGTATTTACATTACATTTATGTACATATGTATGTATTATATTGTATGTAGCTGACGGACTATTTCTTTATTTTGTTTTCTATTTTATTTAAGGGGCATATTTTCTTTAATGCGTGCGATTTTCAATACAAAAGCCTATTTCGCATGACTTTCAAGGGGAATAAAAGTTTTTTTCTACTTGTAGGATGTTTTGCAAAAATATTTATGTACGTGTATATATGTATGCCGTCTTATGAGCTTATGTTGAGGTTATTGCATTAAAATACTCGTATATTGTCGTTTGTGAGTGCAGTGCTCTTCAAACTTTAAACAGAATAGAGCTGGCAATAAAAGGCAACTTTTCTGTGGTGGAATATTTAATAAAAATATTTTTCTTATGAATAGCTTGTTGTCATTAAAGATGCCGCATTTTACACTCAATTCTTAGTAGAATTTTAAGAAATCTTCCAAAATTTTTTAATTTATTGCCTTAACAAAAATGTTATTCATAGCTTACTCAAGAAGCTGTTAATATACTTTTTTACTGCTTACATATTAACTGCAATTAATTTATTTTAAAAAATACCTGTTTAAAATACATTTCCTGAATTCATCAGTTTTAAGAATTTCTTTCGCGTCCATTATTTTCCGTGTATTAATGTCAACAATTAATTATAACTGTTTTTTTTGTGTGCTATAAAAAATCTCTTATAATATATTATATGAGTGTAAATTCATGTGTATATATGCATGCATGTTTTTTGTGTATATATGGGGAAGGTATAAGCGCTAAATAATATTTAGATAAAATAATTTGTTTGCAATTATTTGCCCTATAAATTTAAATAATTTAAATACTTTCGCCAATATTTTGTTACACGTGGTTTTTATAGCTTCTGATTCATTTATAATGTTATGTTTCGTAATTTTTTTTTAATACTTTATTTTTTAAAACATATGTAGATACACACATACTTATGTACATATGTACATAGTTAGTATATATTTTTTCTGTGCAGTAGCCAAGATTTTTAGCACACCGCAAAATCTTAGGCGTTTCACATTTTCTCGCACATCAGTTCTCACGCAGCTATTTTCGCGCCAACAACTCACAGCGGAAATCTTTCGCAAAAGCATATTTGATAAGTGGAAAACAGAGAAACAAACTCTTATATATAAAGTGAAAAACAGAAAATTCCGTTAAAAATTCAGCAGTAAATGTGAGAAACCGCAAAAATATGTGAAGAGGTTTTTTTTTCAGGAAATAAAAAGATTTATTTATTGTAAATAAATATTTGGAAAAATCTAATAAACGCATAATTAATATTGATAAAGTAAGCTTATAAATAAAAAGAAAAAGCAATAAAAATATGCATAATAAGAAAATGTGATAATAAAAACAGCAATAAAACTATATGAACAATTTGATTGGCGCTCAAACTGTGTATGCTGCACTCTCACGCCTCGCGATGATTTGACACATTACGACAAATGTTTGTTGATCAAATCCCAATAAAAACAAGGCATGAAGCTATTAGCTAAGCGATGAGCAATTATAAGTCAAAAGTATAGTCATACGATTTTCACAATAAAAATGTACTATAGCATTTTCATGGAAAATTATAAAAATACAACACGTCACAACATTTAATTAAAAATACATACATATGTATGTATAGTGAGGGTCGTTCCTTACTTGCTGTAGATTTGAAATTTGAGAAAAACATATTTATGTATGTATATATGTATATACTTAATATTCTAAACAAGAACACGCCTGTATAACTCATCATCAATAACAATAACAACAAGCAATAAGAAGAGTAATTGCAGGCGGCTAAAATACAAAATATACATAATATATTTATATGTACATATGGGCGTATGTATGTACGTGTATAGTACTGTGTGTATTGAAAAATTGTTGGAAAATACGTAAATCGTGTGAACACAACGAGAATGACAAGCGTTTTTTTCTTTTCCTATAAACTAACTTGCACAGTGAAGCAGTGCTCGAAAAAAGTTGATTAAATAATTAACAAATAATTAGCCGTGATTAGGTTTATGAATTTTTAAATTTAATTTGAATTTTTATTTATTTTATATTTATGTATATCGTGTTAATTATCATAGTCCACGTTCTAGGCGCTAACGATATGCAAATTTCCAATTGCACGAGCAGTTGTTTCTAAAAAATTAATGTTTAACCGCCAAAAAAGGCTGAAATACAAAGTAATGTATTATAGTAATTTAGGCTGAAAGTCTGCAGACGCTTGAAGCCTGGTGGAAAAATCAATGTTTGATTTATCGATTACTTTTATAAACGATTTTTTTAGTATGGTTTTGGTGCTTGAGAGTTTAGCTAAAAGTTAATAATTTTACTTATTTTATTTAAAATTTTACATACAATTCTTCATAACGGAAGTGTAAAATTTGATCCCTACACTCCCAACGTCACAGTCTTTCAACGCAACACAATTCTTTGTGGACCATTAGCACACAAGTATATGTTGCACACCGAGCATTATCTGTGTGTGTGTCTGTCACGCGGCACACGCAGACGACATTACCATTATTTTTAGAAAATCAACATCATTTTTGCTGCTCTTGTCAGACATATATGTATAAATGTACATACTTATTTCAGCAACAATAATTTACACGTCATATGAAGATTTTAAAATTCTTACTTAAGAAAATGGGATTATTCAACTTTGAAAGAATTCTTGAGTAAAAAAAAAAATATGTTCAATGACGAAAGTTAGACTAAGAAATGCTGAGGAAAATGAGAAATGTACTAAGTTATGTAGACACAAACATTTACGGCATTTTCTACATAAAATGCATACTCGTAAATACAAGTTTAATGACGTGGAAATCATTTTATTAAATTAATGTGAAGTGGAATTTATTAAGAAAACGTGAAATTGTTTTAATTGTTTTTTTTATTTTTATGTCAAACGAAATATATTTAAAATTAAAATCAATTATTTATTTAATTTAAATACAGAAAAAAATATAATTATTTAAACGACTTGCAGCTAATTTTCCAACACTGAGACGTATGTAATCTTGTCGCATAGCGATAATTGATTGTATAAATAGTATTAAATATTGTGCCATATTAATAATCACTAAGTATTTGCGTCAATATTTTACATATTTTCACATGATTATAATTTATTTTAAATTCAGCACCTATGCATGTTTGTACAATTCATAGACTTATCAAAATATATAGATTAAAAATAATGATTAACAAAATCAGAAGACTGCTAGGGAGCATGAGTGCCAAAGGAAGTGCTCGTAAATTAATTTTGATAATTATGTAGCCTAAATTGAAAACAAAAAATTCAAAAAGCAAAGAGATTGGAAATTTAAAAATTAAAAACAGTTGCGTTTCATAGTGGAATAAAAATGCTGATATACATTCTACATAATTTGTCAAAAAAAAAAAAAAAAAAAATATCGTGTGATAAATAATTGTTAGTATACATACATATTTCATTGTTATTGCTAAACACCTGCGCTTGTTTTTATCATACACATAATTTTTATTGTCTAATTATTTAGGTAAATGCAAAAGTCAAATGAAATTTTTTTATCGTAGACGTGGCTAGAAAAAAATGATAAGAGCAGGTGGTATGAATGTATGGCATAATTAATAAAATTATTAATGAATTAATTGTAATTAGTTTTGTTATGTTTTTTTTTTAATTTTCCTGTCTATAAAGTTTTTAATAGTAAAAAAAAGTATTATCATAATTTAATTTGATATAAAATATACCAAAAAACTTAATAAAAATAAATAAAATTAACGATTTTTATATAATTAACTTTTTACAAAGACTAGAATGGAAAAACCTATATGTACATATATATAATATATATAGCAGCTGACAGCTTGCCAAATTAAAAAGGTGCCATGGTAGTACCATTAATTATCGATATACTTTAAAAGTTATATCGATGTTTCCATTATTTACTGAACTTTCTCCTGCATATCATTCTGCAGTGAGTCACATCGTGTTAATATAATATAATAATTGAATGATGATAAGATAAACTTTTACGTCAAGTGTCAATAACGGAAAACAAGATTGCCAAATTGCCTTTATTTTTAAACAATTAACCTTTGAATATTTTGGCAATAAAAATTAATTATTTTATGAGAACATTCATACCATCAAGACATGCCTCCCCGGACACCTGTGGCGTTGGTATATGAGCCATTTGTGTTATACCGAAAAATCTCTCAAAACGTAGATTAGTAAATAAGCGGTTAGTATTATTACTACACACGACATAATCTTTTAATGATTCATTACTATTTTTTTAACACAAATTACCAATGAAATGTTTTATTGGCCTTGATTAGGGTAGTTGCGTTTAATATAATATATAAATGACTTGCATTAATTTAGTAAATTCCACTAAATTCGTCATTCTCGTGGCATTAGAAAGCGAGAGCGAAAACGCACAGCTGACGACAATTCAAATCGATTAGTTTTGAGGATTAAATCCCATTTAAATATATAAAGTAAGTTATGCACATTCTTCTGACGAGTTGTATGTTTTAATTAAAAATGCCTCAAAATCATCGTTAGAATGTGACACCATTCACAAAAACTTAATAAAAAATGGTCAGTTTGAAGCACACTGACACTGTAATAGGTTTCACATCTCTTCAACCCTTGTAAACACACTAACGGACTGCATTCAGATAACAAATGATATTTATCGATAATTGCACTTAATCACCATAACCACGTGTAGATGTTAATTTCTTGAAAGTGGCTTGTACATTGAACTGCTTGATAGTAACAATTTAATTACAAAGCACAATTAAGTTACTTTAATGGTTTCAAAGTTTAAACGCCTTGCATTATTCAGAACCGCAATTGCAAATAATATTGTTTACTTATTTTTTTTTTATTACATCGCCTGTTTAAGATTAACGCTTTAAAAAGTAAATATCTTTATTCAGAGCATATGTTATTCAATGCTAAGAATTCATAATTCTTTATTCGCAAGTAGATCACCGTCATTGTACATATCTACAGATTTGTGTAAATAAATAAATTAATTTGTATACTCTTACGTAGTCCAATGCTTTGCAAATTTTCTTATTCGCCTCACTGCAAAGCAACACGTATACGCCCGGGGCGCTTTTACTTTCTCTGTAGCATTTTTAAGGCTCATGAAAAAAATAAAATGTACATATGCATGTCTGTTGTATGAACTAATGTATGTACACATGTATGTATATAGTGTTATCTAGCGAAAAATTCAAAAGTCGCGTATTACGAAAATAAAGTTCACATTTGTTTATCTAATGTGCCTTAACATTTGACAAGCAGTGAAATGATATCGATAGCAAGCAAGCGATAACACCTGATAGAAAGTCATATCTAACACACATGGCATAAATGCTTTAAGAAAATACCAACAATGGTTATCATATCTATTGTTTTAGCCTAGCTCAACTTAATAAACAATACATAATTAATTGTGAACAACGGAACTCAAGATAAAATTGAAATTAATTTTGTACTGTGGGAAAACCGAATCAAAAAACAGAGTGAAATTAAAAAAAAAAATAATTAAACAGCTTCCAAGAAAGGGTATGCTATGAACGAATTACTTTTTGAGGTTATGTGTTGACTTTGTGTAAAATAATAGCAGGCTGTTACGTGAACATTTGATATTTGCAAATTTTTTATAAAAAACATTAAAAAATCCCAATTATTTATGATGATAAACTAGTTTTACATAAACATACTTTGAGTACATTATTAACTATTTTTTAAAGTCCGAAAGTCTCTGCATAATCAATACGCACGCGCTCATTTCTAATCTGTTTTGCTTTTAAAATAATCATCACATACAGCAGGAAATAATTAGATATTATAAAGAGACGCCACAATTGTATAATTAACAACAATTTTATAATTACTAAAGTTAACCAAACATATTTGTTTTATGCCATTCTCATACGCCCGGGTGTACCAAAAATTTATCAAACAACAAAATATCGCCATTTATCGCAAGACAGACATTTGGGATTATCATATATCACATACCCGTGCCGCTTGGTTAACCGCAAAATACCATATACATATATGTACATACATATGTATACAAACAAATGAACAACCAAAACAGCGCCTAAACGTCGCGCAAACGCGCCCAATAACATCGCCAGCATATGACGCCGCTGTCGCTCGAACCTTCACGATATCAACGCTGTGACTTCAGTGCGAATCCGGCGCATGACAGCGACGGAACAATGTTAGAGTATTATAACGATTATTTTGTTTACTTATGTACTGCCATTTTTTCGTAGTTTTAAAGTGAGAACGTTGTAAAGCTGTCGTAAAAGTTGTTTTATAAGAAAATAGCTGGAAGCGCGCGTGTTCTATATGTATTCTGTATTGTATTGTATTGAGAAATGTTTTACGTTGAAAATCGCAATTGGAAAACAATAGACGTTTGAAATCATATTTGGTGTTTTTGGTAAAATATAAACAATTGTCTGATTGATATGCCGTTACTTCAAATATACAAATACATGACGTCACTGGAAAGACAAAATCGTTGGTAGTAACGGGAAAAGGCATGAAAAGAAAGTTTTTGACGAACTAAAGTTGTCGTAAATTATTTTATTCTTGTGCTTAAAGCGTTTATTAGATTTTTTTAATACTTTTCCTATTTTGTGTTGGTGTACTCGTATAATTAAACCGGTTTAACATTGCTAAGAAAGCAACTGATATAGTGTGAACAGCAATATAATAAAGTAGAATAGCATGCTCAAAACAAAACAAAATTAGAATAAATATACGCAGTGAAAAATATTAAATGAGATAATTGAGAAATTTTATAATATAGTATAATAAAAACAAATTATATTTTATTTATATAACACTTGCTGTAAAAAAATAGCGCTTAGTTAACATACTACGTAAAGTAATACAGATATTTATAACCATAAAACACGAAATGCCAGTTCCTATATTGAGCGCGCTGCGGCGGACGTATAGGATTTAGCAGCGCTGCGCCGCATTAGTCAACCTCAAGTGTCAGCAAATGAAAGCGCGTGAAAGCATTTGCAATTAACCGATCGTGCGCGCGTTTGAGTGAGGTGATCAAAGTGTGTGTGTACAAAAAAGTTATTTGGCTAAGAATTGGTGCGGCTGATCGATCGACTGCGCTGTACACACGTGTTCAACATATCCAATTAGCACATACGCCTCTTAATACAGTGAATATAAAGAAAAAGTTATACAACAAAAAGCGATAACACAAACAGTACCGCCAAATATGTGCACTTAATGAAAGGGTGTACAAATAAAAATGACAAAACCATAAATACTAATGCAATCACCAAACCATAAATGTAAACAAAGCCACCATTTGAAAGCCAATGCCATATGTTTGACAAATTGAATGAGACTTTATAGTATTTGGACGCTCGAATTACGGAACCATCACAACAACTATGGCTGATTCGGCAAAAAGTGCCGTTGTTGAGCCTACCCCAAAATCAATATCTCGCAATAATTCCGATTCACATATAGCACATTTAAATGCACAGAAAAATCGCTCAAATCTCTTTCTTATTAAATCCTATAGTTTTATCGATAAATCATTGAAAAATCATGTGTTGCCAAATAAATCAAAGGAAGCAAACCAAATGAAGTCGCAAAAATTTAATGCACAAAACTTCATCTCACCGTTCACCGCCTCCGAAAGGTCACTAGATAATGTCAAGCGTGTAAATAATAATAAGAAAAAAGTAAAAGAGATAAAAACAAAAACAAAAACGAAAACGAACGAGAATGATTCGGATGAGGAGGATTTACGTGCTTTGTTGCGACATCCCTCCGTCATTATGGAGGGTGTTGCGAGTGAAATGCATGCGCGTCCCAAATCAATGCCAAATCCGGTGGCACAAACGGCGAACGTTTGTCAACAGTCAACAGACAACCAGGCGGCGACTTCGACAATGGCGCCATTGAATAAAGCACAAAATAAATCCACAAAAAATACATTTAAACGCGAATCCTTTCTACGTCACAGCTTGCAATCGATACGTCGTAGCTTTAGCGCGCATAAAAAATTCGCCGGTTTCGGGCATACGGCAACGAATTCCGGTACATCGACGACTTCCGGCTGTTCGAAGGGATCGAAAACAACATGCACTTCCTCCACATCATCAACTAGCTCAACATCATCTAAGTTCTCTTCCGCCTCCTCAACAGCATCGGTGACATCGGCTGATGTGAAACAATCAGGGAAACGGTGTAATAATGGTGAAAAAGGCGACGTTACCGTAATGCTAAATGGCAATGCCGTCAACTGGCAGGAGAGGGGGGATAATAATATGGATAACTGTGATATTAAACATGTTGTTGGCAATGAAGGCAAGTCACAAGTGCATGAAAAGGATTTGCGTAAAAGGTAAGACTATAGTACTTATGGTTTTTTATGAGTTATGCGTATACAAAATGTGAGAAATGTTATGAAACTGAGCTTGTATGTATGTATATGGCTCAATGTCAAGTGGTTTGACATTGGTAAGGCTGTTGAATTTACTTAGAAAATTTTGTATTGAAATGAGTTGGATAAAAACTAAATATACAATTTTAAGTGGGTATTGACATGTGTGTTAAAAGGACTCTAACAGAAAGGGGGATGGATTTGCTTTGGTTCACATAACTCATAATACATTCTTTTTCCTCACATAGTACTCACTGAGCTTATTTATGGTAGCAATGCCTTGTTTCTTTTTCAATAAACGAGACTACTTGTGAACTTTTCACCTTTAAAACGTGAACCCATTTAATGTCAGCAAAAAAAAAAAAAAATTAAAAAAACAACAACAACAACATCGATGTATGCCCAGTAAGAAAATTTTCTAACCAAGTCCCCTTTGGCAATTGGAATAATATTGTAAAAGCACTTCGCAAGGTATGAGAAATGAAAATAATTCATTTGTCTGTTACTGGAAATTGGCCAACGCCCAGCGCATGATGGTAGTGCAACGGAAACAGGATGTGCCGTTTGCAAAGCCATGTGGCAGGATAGACATGTTGCTGTTGTTGTCATTACTGCATACTTTTGGGTGCCACATGCAGTAGCTAAGCGAATAAGTAGGCAGGCTTTGTGCATTCATATGTATGTACACAAGTTCCAACAAAATGGTGGAATGCAAGCAAATTGCAAAAATGCCGCAGGAAGTTGCACTGTTATATTCATGCAGTGCTTTGTATGTATGTATGTAGTTCGCTCCGTTGTTTGTTTGTTTATCTCAATATTTGGTTGGCGGCTTGCCCACAACGTTGATTGTTTGTGGCTTTTCATTTACCTCCATACGTGTTGTGTGTGGAGTAAATAAATCTTTTTCTTGTTATTGATTTTATTTTTCTATTCTCTGTTTAAAGGAAAATATTTGCCATTATCATGTACGAGTATAAGCTTTTATTCATATTTCCTTTTATAATAGCACATCAAATAAGTTTTTCACCTCTTCGAATTTCATAATTTCACTACAAACACCAAAAATAGTTTTATTTAATTCGTTTAATCCTTCTTTTGTATATTATTTTTATACAATAAATGCGCCTTACGATTTCGGTAGACTGCGACGCTAGCTCAGTAAGCCTTTTTCTCACGCTACTAAATAAAGGGTAAAAATAAAAATAGACAATAAACGCGATCGCAACAAACTGTAAAATTTCCATTTCACTTCGAAACTAGTTTCATGTCATGCAAAGAATAAATTATTCAACCAACAAATGTTCGACCGTCTTCCGCAGAACTTTGCACACCAAACAGATTTAAATCACGCGCCGACCCTCTCCTATTTAGTACTCAGAACATATGTAGCACTTTTATGAAATGTATCAGAAAATAGATAATAATGTGCGCTAACTATGTTTGCAGCGAAATAGATGAAATAAATATGACTTAACTTCACACCGATTGCCATTTACCATGTGCGCGCCATTTGTTGCTAACAGTGTGTTCAGATGCTGCAACTTACGGCGTCATTTTATTGTAGTAACATAATGGTGTGTGTTTGACAAATTGGTGTGAAAATTGTAAATTTACGGTTAAATTAAATATTTGCATCTAAATTGACGTTGTTATCTAGGTCATGTGGCAGTTACTTACGGTCTGATATGAAATTAAAATGAAGATTTTGAAAAGTAAATTGACGTGTGGGCGAAAAAAAGATTTATTATTTAAACAACACTCAAAACATTTTTTTTTATGGGAAATTCAAATTTATTAACACACACACGCATTTGTATCTCTGTTGATGGAGTAATACTAGTGTGCAAGGCGAAAGCGGCAAATATTGACGTTCCCGAATGTCAAAGAAAAAGAAACAATTATTTTCCTCCTTGCCTCCAAAAAAAAATATTTTCAATTCATTTGAAAAATAAAATCATCGTCCTTCAGTTGCTTCTGGCTCGATTTATGTTGCACAACGCAGCCTTATGGTGTCACCAATGGGAACTTTGAAAAATGAAAAAGATGCCTTTCCCACGCTGCATTTGCTTTGTAAATTTTTAATGTTTTTCGAATGAATTCACTTTACAATTGGAAATCGCTTGTTTTGTTTTATCTGACTTTCTGGAAGTAGAGCACTTTTTCATCTTATCTGAATTCGCCTTGGCTTTTGGTCACACAATACTTACACCGCCATCAATAATAATCGATTATCGATACTTTTGTCACGCTGCAATCATTTGAAAAAAACGGATTTTTTTCTTATTTCATGTAGTATAGTGGTTTTAACTCATTTTAATTATTTTTGACCCAACGCAAAACCTTAGAAATTTGTGTAAATTTATTTTGCTTTAAATTGAATTCCGAATTTCCGGCATCAAATTCAAAGAAATAAATTTAAAAGTGCTTTCTCAAGCGAATGTCCGCTGTTGACTACTTACTTATGCATACACACATGTGTACATATGTGTGTACGATACATGCAAAAGGAATATTATATATGTCATATATGTATGTATTGCATGCAATCAAAAATGCTAAGCTCATCCCATATTTGCATGAATTGAAATTCCTGCATTGCACACAATCACACTTGAGAAGCATGTCACATCAATCATTTTTTGCCAATAGGCTAAATATCAATCAAATTAAGGCAAGCAAAAATCCATACATACACGTATGTATGTAATTCTATGGAAATATGCATGATGTACATTTGTGAGTAAACTTCATAAATTAATTGACCTACATGGCAGCAATTGCAATTGCAACTGCAACAATTGGTGATTACACTTAAATTTAAATTTGTGCACATTCAATTGGCTGTCACTTGAGTAGCGGGCAAGCCGTCAATTAGGTTGCAAGCAAAAAAAAAAAACATCAAGAAGCAAAAATGCAAGTGACATATTGAAATTGATACTAATGTGTCAAAAACAAAAATATCTTTAAATAAGTGTTTATGTATGTGCATATGTATGTATGTATGTTTGTAAATCAGAATTGTGCAATCGTATGAAATGCTTATAAAAATTCTACAAAAAAATATGTATAGAAATAAAAAAAAGCTAATTAACACAAAATTTATGCTCTTCCTTAAAATCAAATAAGAAATTGTTGTGCAACACATACATACACAGAGCATATTCAAAGCAATGAAAATCCCAATGGTTTCCAAATATTACCGAACATAGTATGCATACGATGATATTGTATAATTATAAAATTGCCTGCCATAAACATCTTGTTGTGGCCTAAATATGTTGGGCGGATTCAATTTGTTTTCACTCTTATTTTGCTGCCGCCCACAGTTCTTAAATGTATGTATATATGAAGCGAAAAATCATATCATAAGCATAAACTACAATACAAAAGCGCTTGGTGTGATTGCACTATCACTGCCTATATTGCTACACTGCCTTTCAAAGTGTTTTTGCTTGCAGTACAAAGCAACCATTATCGCCTGTGGTGGCAAAATGGAATGATTGAAAATTATTGCCGCATTAAGACAATTGCTTAGGTTAAAAAAATTTACATAATTTTAGTTAAACATAAATATATATATATGTATTGCTATTTACAAGCACTTGCTTCACTTTTAGCTTGAAAGAAATGGTAAACAAAAAGCGTACAAGTTCTATAAAGCAAACAAACCCAATTGAATCATTTTAATATGCTCAGTGATAATATACATACATACATACTATTGTATAAACACATTTTAACACTTACATATGTTTTGTTTTTGCTCATTCAAATACTTGCTGCGTTCCATCTGAGTCCGCTGCAGCCCGAAATGTGCCAGAAACAGTTCTTCACTCTAGAAAAGTAGGTGTTTGAGCGTTCGAATACAACACACTCTTGCATTGAAAAAGTCAGTTTACACATCCCGTCGGGGCTCAATCTTTTTTTCCGCTTCATAACTCAGTAAAGTTGTCAGATCAGCTCTTTTTGTTTGCAATCGCAAGCAAAATTTATAAAAGACTTAAATGCATAAAACCATCGTTTCCTAAAGTTTGTTTATGCGCAGAAATGCGGGCTCGAAAACTGTTGTACAGCGTCTCTTTGGAAAAATTTCTCTATACACTAGCCCAGTACAGAAAACGATTATATCTCAATTTCTAATAAGTTATGGTGTAGAGCCCATACTGGGAAGAAAAAAAGGGGCGCCGTATATCTATAATTTGCCCTTTGGCTATAGTGTGTTGCCGGAAGCAATCCTGGATAGTAATACTGACGTTTCACAATTACGTATGAAGGAAAAAACGTTAAAGATTGGTTGGTGGAGGCCTGCGAAAGTGAAGAAATTGTGTGATGTTAGCCTTTGACTGAAGCCTGAGATTAGGGCTGCCATAATTTGCGGTGTAAAAAAAACTGAAAAGATATGCTAAATTCTACGCAGCGCCATAAAATACATACATATATGTATGTATATAGATATTTTCACACTAATTTCAGTCAGCCCCATGACAACTCTCCCATAATTGCATAAAATGCACACACATTGAATAGAAATAAAAAGCGCTCACTAGACCAGCTTACTAACACACAGCATCGGTACTCGCCAACAACTAGCGCATTGTTGTGATGGGATGGAATCTTATAATGTTCGAGTGAATTGCTGAGATCATTCAATATTTACACTCGACTCGGTTCGCACGCGTTACGTGTCGCGCGGTATACGAAAAAGCAGATGAGCAGCAGCTGCTGGTGAGGTATAGTTCTATGTCTATCCGAAAGTTCAAGGGAATGTAAGGGAATAAAGAAAACTTATTTGCGCGAAGGATATAGTATGTATTTCGCAAATAATTTTCAGAAAATCAATACGCAAATCAATTTCTTGCACGTTTACAATAATATTCACGCTGATTTTTGCCTTTTATTGCTCATACTTTTGTGAGGTGACGTTTGTGAAATTATTGCCGGTACGTGCTTTGATGGTTTGA